CCTAACCCTAACCCTAACCCTAACCCTAACCCTAACCCTAACCCTAACCCTAACCCTAACCCTAACCCTAACCCTAACCCTAACCCTAACCCTAACCCTAACCCTAACCCTGACCCTAAGAGGCCCTTTAACCTAGTAAAGCTAGAACGTACTATACATATATATAAAAGTAATCTAGTAGTATATATATCTCTTTATAAAATCTTAAGTAGTTCTACTTTAGGCCTTTAGTTATATAAGTATATTCTAGTTTAATACTATAAACAAGATACGTCTTAAGAGAGGTACCTTAAGAGCGTTAGTATAAAGTATAGTACTTAAAGAGTATTTAGATCTTATCTACTACGTTCTAGTAACAGGTCTTAAGAAGGGCGTATCTTAGAAGGTAAAGGTAGTACTATTAATAGTACTAATAATAAACCTCTTAACCCTAAGGCTAGTTCTAAGGGTATATAGCTATAAAGCCTAGCCTACCTTTTAAGACTCTAGAGTTTCTATTAGTTCTTTAAGGTAGTAGTAAGAGTACTATACTAGCTTCTAGTTTTTATATCTTAGATTATATAGAGTTAATAAGTACTAGCCTACTAAAGGTTATACTAGTAGAGCTTAGTTAAGGTGGTAGTATATTAATAGTACACTACTTATACTTACTAGATAGCCTTAAAGACTTTACTATTTTACTAAGGCTTAGTACGCCTTTAGTTAACCTTCTTTCTTAGAGTAGATATATCTATAATATATATAAGCTAAAAAGTAAGTAAGTTAACTACTTTATTAACCTTATAAGGTATGTCTAGTAGCTCTAAAGAGAGGTAGAGCCTCCCGGCCTTAATCGTTACTAGTTCTTAGTCTATTAGAGTCTAGCTTTATCTTAGTGCCTCTATAGCTTTCTCTTAGTAATCTCTTACTTAAGTAATAACCTTAATTAGCTAGGTATAGTAGTTAGATCTCTTATACCTTAGGTTACCTTAATAAGTATACTAGAGCGTTACTATAACCTATATATAGTCGATTATTAAGTCTTATTTATTATGTTACTATTATATTAGCTCTTTCTAGAGTATATATAGTAAGAGCTACTACTTATAGGCTAGATAGAAAAGGGTCTTTAATTTAAGAGTAGTCTTACTAGCTTTATCTTAAAGTAAGTAATAAAGGTTTATATTACTTATAATAATCTATAGCCTCTTTAAGTCCTTCTTAGTAAGCCGCTAGAAAGGGCTAGCCTAGCCTAAGGAGTTAAGAATTAGTAAGTATATTAACTAGATAGTAATACTTTATAAAGTAACGTAATACTAGTTAATACTTGTCTTTACTACTTAAGTAAGAAGTAAGTACTACTTATAAACATAGATAACTACTTTACCTTTACTCTTATAGACCTACTAGTACTTTACTTATACTAGGTAGTAGACTATCTTTATCTAAGTATTATACTATAACTCTTAAATTACTATAATATTAACTTTATAACTATTATAAAGTACTATTAAGGTAAGGCTATTCTTTCTTATAGTATTCTAGTATACTATTATTAATTTTATTACTAAGAGTCTAAGATCTATAATTCTTACGTTATAAAAGGGTCGCTAGACCCTTAGTTAGTCTCTTAGCTTAATATCTTTATAATATTATAGCTCTAGACTATTATAGTATCTAGTACCTTAATAAAAAGGCGCCCTTACCTTACTAAAGTCTTTACTATAGGCTTCTTACTATTACTTGTCTATAGTCTCTTATATACTATAATCTAGTAGCTATTATTACTATCTTATAAGAACACTAGTATAACACTAAGTACCTAGCTAGTAAAGCTACTCTTAGATACCTTAAACTATCTAGGCCTTTATTAATATATAGTATATACTTACTTCTTTACCTTAAGGGCCTTAAGACACTAATAGTCTTATACTATATATAGTCTACTATAGTTAATATATCTCTTTTTATTATTAAGTTAAGGGTACTTCTCTTTACTTTAAGGGTATACTACTCTTATATAATAGCTATACTAGGCCTAGTTCTTATAAAACCGCCTAATATAGCTAAACTAGTAGTACTAGAAGTATCTTTAGATTTATAGGTTAGCTAAATATAGCTTATAGTTAAAGATCTAGGCTTACTAGATTAACCCTTATTTATATAAGTATATTACTACGTTAGTACTTTAAAAGTATAGTACTACTATTATAAACTTTACTATAAGGGCCTTAATAAGTTTAACTTTAACTTTTATAATATATAGTATATAGGCTTAGATCTTTACTAATAACGCTCTTAGCTCTACTTATATAATCTAGTCTACTAGTAGGCCTTTTATAATTATTATAAACTTACTTTTATAAAGCTAGGCTATAAGCCTAAACACCTTTTATACTTAGCCTTAATCTTAGATTACGTTCTTTAGTATAGCCTTTTTAAACATAAGGATAGTATTACTACTAAGTAGCTAGTAGGTCGCTACTACTTTAGCGTTCTTAATTACTATATTAGCTACTATTACTACTTTAATAACGCTATAACGTACTAGGTCTTTTGTTTACTTGTTTACCTTAATCCTTAGCTCTTTAACTTATCTCTCTAGTATAACTTATACTCTTATTAAGTACTAGCCTACTACTAACGCGTAAGTAGCCTAAGAGGCTACTATTACTACTAGCCTTTAGAAGGCCTCTTTTAATATCGTTCTTAATTATCTAATCGTTACTAAGTTATTATTAGAAAAAGACTTAAGAGTATATAAGAAAGTTATTATATTTATAGTTCTTATCTTTACTACTATTATTATTATAGTAATAAGGTTACGTAAGAGATATAACGCCTCTTTTTCTTTACTTAGTATTACGTAAGCTTTGATTCTTTATATAATTTTCTTTATCTTATTGTCTTTATTACCTTTACTACTCTTTAGCTCTTTACTATAGCTCTTAGTTAAGGTATAAAAGTACTAGCTCTTACTTATAAGTAAGTAGTACTAGCTTTGTTTAAGTCTAGTACACTTACTATCTGTTACTATAGGCTTACCTATAGTCTACTAGTACTCTAGAGAGTATCTAAAGGTACTAATTTTGATTTTATTATTTGTTTTTAAGTTTTTAAGGTAGTAGAGGTAATTTTCCTTTTTTAAGAATAATAACAAACTTATTTTAATAATATAATACTTAAGTAAATACTAACTTATTTTATAAAAAGAATACTTTAAGAAAAAAAGGTTTATATAAGATAAAAAGGTAAGAGAAAACTCTACTACTATTAAGGTAGAGTAATAATAGTCTAGTTAGTTACATACTTAGTACTAACCCTTTACTAGGTTCTAACCTATAACAAGTTCTTATAATAGATCTAAATTTATATTATTATACTTAATAGACTATAAAAGACTTATTACTAAGTTAAATAAACAACTTACTACTTCTTATTATTATTACTATAGACTAAGAATAAAAGGTTTAAGAGGTCTTAGTATTTAAACTTATCTAAAAGTACTTCTTTTATTAAGTCTAGTAAATAAGCTATAATAAGGATTTAGAATAGTACTTAGTATCTAACTTTAAATACTCTTTGTATAAACTTAAAAAGTACTACTTATAATACTAGGATTAACCTAGGCTACTAAAGAGCTTAGAACGTTAGCTTAAGACTTATAAAGATAAGTAAGATAAGTATAAAGAACTAGATAATAATAAAGTAATATTAATATACTTAAGGATAAGCTTTTTTAAAAAGAAAAAGTAATATAATAAAGCTAGTACTAGCTTACTACTATTATAATCTATTACGTAATACTCTAGATATTACGTACTAATAAATTATATAAAGAACAAGTTATATAAGCGGCTAAGTAAGAATCTGTTTATAAGGTAAGAAGTAACTTATATATAGTATAAAGTCCTCTTTTACTCTTCTTTTCTCCTTAGCTTAGAATTTAATTTAATTAGTATCTGTTATAAACGCCTACCTAGTAGGATTCTTGTAACGCCTGTTATAAAAACTAGCTACAGATTATTCTACAACTCTTGGCTAAGACTCGATCATTAAAGAACGTCTGCCTACAGGTGCTTATTACAAGCAGACTAGAGATTCTAATCCGCTACAGTTTCTGCTATATTCCTAGCGCTAAGCATCGCGACTTTATCCTACATGACATAGAAGCGGCTATTGTAGACCATGATATATGAATTTTGCCGTCGTCCTAGTTATTATACTTGAGGCAAATAAAGAAATTAAGCAACCCTGCAACAGTAACCAAATAGACCCGTCTTAATTCCTGGCCTTGACTTTAGGCTACTTTCATCATTAGGAAAGACACCCTGGTGGATCCTACGATCTAAAACCCCTCAAGAATAATAAAAGCACCGCCTCCTAGCAGCTCATCTTTGTGACCTAGTCAGCCAGCGATCGTTTAACAATTCCCTGGCCGTCTTTCGCTTCTCTGGTTCCCACTGCAACATCGACTTAATAAAGTTCAGAAATAGCTCTTTATCCTTCCCGTTAAGATTCTCCTCCGCAGCCTCAAGACTACTAGACGGCAAAAGCGGTAGGCGTTCTGGCTCATTCTCGTCTGGTTCAAGCCATTTACCATCTCCATCAAACCATTCTGCAGATCTCTTGCCCCGTTTGATGAGCTCTAGTGGTGGTGGTCCGAGAACGGAAATCAGTTCTGTAAGATGAGCACGAGTTGTGTAGCGGCCTCGTTTCGGATCTTGCCCACTAAAGAGATGCTTACCCTCAAAGATATCCCAGATCTACAGCCAAGTCAGGAAAAGGGAGTTCCATGAACCTATCTTTGCGTGGGAAAGGGCCACTTACCATGGCGCCAACATTCCAAATATCAGCGCTATAACTCCATGGGAGATGAAGCATCACTTCTGGACACCTGTAAACATCGGGGTAGGCGTCATCATCATTGAGTTTTGTCCCATATACCGCATTCCCGAAGTCGCAAAGTACTGGCTCTCCAATAGACTCTGGCATATCTAGAGTCCGGGAAACATATATTTCTCGATCCATCGCTTTCTTGCGCGGTGAGGGTTGAGCAATCTCGGCTTCCTCAGAGGCAGCAAGAATAGAGGTATCTTCAATAAGATGGAGAATGTTATCGGATTTGATGTCTAAGTCAAATAAAATCAGCAGACATTCTAGCATAAAAACCAGGAGTAAATTAACCTGTGTGGATCAACTTCCGATCTGTGTGAAGATAGTCTAGAGCCAGTAAAAGGCGTTGGAGGTTTACTCGAAGCAGATCTTCTGTAAGTCTATCTCGACCACTCCGTTCGAGGAGTGTCCTTATACTGTCCCAGAGTGGTTCGTGTACTAGGCATGGGTGTTTGCTACCGCGATTCATCAACTCAAATGAATCAAGGGCAGTGCGCACGTAGCGATAGCCAAGTCTTGATTTGTTTCCTTGGCTAATGTGCTTATAAATGGCAATTTCATCGGTATCCTGGCCATCATTTGTAAATATTTTGACGGCAACGTGACGGTGGGCACTGATTTGAACTTAGCTTCATCTTATGTTAGGGGATAATATCGCTGACTGTAAATCCCGTGCAAGCCACACCGTTGACGAGTTTCCAAACCCCAGCTTTCCAACGATTTGATATCGCGAGGAAAGAACATCCCCAATCCGCGCTGGGTAATATCGCTCAATTCCGAAGTTTTCTTCTTCAACCTTTTCTGATGGGTTGATAAGAGGGAATTTCACATTCGGGTATTGCCGTGGTGGAGAGGGTGCCCGTTTGACGGCACTTTTGGCCCACTTCAGGAGTCCAGCCATGAGTGAGATGTGCTTGACGATCTTGCGGATATTTCAGTGTACCTTAGATTTAGATTTGATGGTCTACAGGAAGGAAGTAGTCAAGGGGCCGAAGGTGGGAATGTATTGATGGAGTAAGGAATTGAAAGAGGTTGGGTACACGTGCAACAGTTGGTCCGAGCGTGCAAATACATACCTGTGTCATCCGCTCAAGGTGAGATTCGAGCGACAGCGAGGTATACGACAAGGAGGTCAAGAAGATGTCGAACAGGAGTAACGGTACCTAGATCAGTGCAGAATACAAGCGAGATAGGTACTACTGCTGACCGCCTACATTTACGGCTCAACGCATTAGGTGAGGGGAGCTCGTATAGCAAAAAGGGGGGTGGGGAGGGCTCGCATAACAATTAGGGGTGCTCGTGTATCATGACTGCCTAAGGTAGACAGAATGTAGGATCACCTACCTATCAGGTAAACGGGCCGTTCTAGTGGACCCCGCCTAATTCCAGGTGCAGTAAACAGTGATCGTTACTCTCACGCCCTGTTACAGGGATAAACTCACTTTGATCCACTTGAGTTTGCTCTGTTATCAACGCCGCCTCTCTCATGATATAATCATCCCATTGTTTAACATCTATTAAGATAAAAACGATGGTGGGTGACAGCGGCTGAAGACCACCCGCGCTGTGTCTATACCATATCAGGATAACACCTCGAGATCTTATGGTTTCAGCGGCCCTTTCTATATTGTTGGCGTTCCCTTCAGCTGGATACTTCAATGCACCCAAGATGTAGTTTGTAAACATCATCTCTAAGTGGAGACACCATCAATATGGCCAACCAGGAGTGAACGGTTCCCAGGTAAGCCAGAGGCTCATTGTCTAATGTGAGAGTTCTCGAGCACAGATTACAGGCCTGTTGATGAAGCCACAAAGGATGCAGGATTTTGATTCCTAAATACAATATTAATTGGGATTCAAGGAGCGATGGCATCCTTGAAAGGAGTCAGTCTGTCCCACGAGAAGCTGACTACATGGATTCTTGGGTTGCACTCTGCCGGATTTAAGGGGTAACTCCAACTTAACCCGTCTTAAGTCCACATACTTCGTAACGCCGGTGGCGTTGAGGTTCTGAACGCTTATATAAATCTTGTCTGATCGAGTCGGATCTTGCTTGGTTCACAAAGGCATCTCGCATATCCGAGGATAATCCAATAAAGCTCCCCTGAAACGAGCTCCTGAGATTCAAAATCACCAACATGTCTACATTTACTATGCCCCAGAGGCCGCTTGTATGGCTCATCACAGGCTGCTCTTCGGGTTTTGGTCTTACCCTTGCCCGCGCAGTCCAGTCACACGGGCACATCCTGATCGCAACTTCGCGAAACCCTTCCCGCACCCCTGACCTCGTCGCTGAGGTCGAGACCAAAGGAGGGAAGTGGCTCAAGATGGACGTGGACGACGTTAACTGCGCGCAGATTATTGAGGACCTCGAGGCGTCAGGCAATCGAGTCGACGTCCTGGTCAACAATGCAGGGTTTTCTATTCACGCCTGCGTTGAGCAATTCACGGAAGAGGAAGTACGACGCCAGATGGAGTCGCTGTATTTTGGCCCTTTCAGATTGATTAGGGCGGCGGTACCACATATGCGCAAGCAAAGATTCGGCATCGTGGTGAATATGAGCAGTGGGGCGGGTCTAGAAGGGAGGGAGAGTATGGGTGCTTATGCCCCAGCCAAGGCCGCGCTCGATGGTAAGTGTCTGTTTCCTGACCACGAAAGCTTTTTGGAGCTGAACAATAGCCAGGCATGTCCAAGGTTCTGGCAAAGGAAGTAGCCCCGTTTAACGTCCGTGTCTTGATTGTCTCGCTCGGGGGCTTTAACACCAACATGGTCAACTCCATCACCGTCGGCAAGAATCCTATGCCAGAAGACTACAAAGGATCTGTTGCTGATCAGACCATCCACTATATGGCCAGCGGGAAATTCGACCCTGACGGTGATAAGGAGAAGGCCATTAAGGCACTCTACGAGGTCGTGATGGGTGAGGGGGTCGGAGCTGGACACGAAGGCGAGAGATTCCTGCCTCTAGGCAGGGACCTGGCTGCGAGAGTCAAGCAATTGCAAGATCAGTACGCTCATAGCATGGAGGTCTTCGGAGACATCTGTAACAACGTGTACAGAGATAGGTGATGCGGAGAGCTAGCGTAGGTCTCTCTCCTATCATGGTGATGCACTCAAGAGGAGAAATAAAAAGCAGATAGGTTAAAAAGTTCATATTCCGAGCCATCAACCTACAAGTTCAGGACCTCGCTTTCAAAGGGCGTTACTAAGGTAGTTGTTTAGAGTAGGTACATAAGCAATTATGGAAGTCTTCCTTGCACATTTATCCTTGAACTGCCAGCTTAGTAATAACGACGCTCGTGAAGCCCCGGAATTAGACTATGCTATCTAGAAAGGACCCCTATGGGGGTATATCTGGGGTTACATAGCCGCTTGCCTAGCTTAGTTACCCTTTATGTACTTAGCCACATAGATATAGATAGATGATACCTCTTTCTGTGGTAGACGTACCAATTGACTTTACAGGAATCCTATAATATGAGAATGCCGCTTGCCCTTTCCGCTTCGTATCTAGGGGCGCATGCTCTTAGGGATTGGCTTTTCGAGGGTTACGCGTCGTTGCATGTTATACTCTATTATACTACTTTTATACAGATACTCTTTGCCAAACGTTATTGCCCGTTCTTGTTCTGCACAGTGCGAATTCATTCAGTATTGATCCACACGTTCTGTCGCAACCGCCGTTGCTTTGCAGAGGACATATCTCAATATCGTTTAGATCCTCTGTAGAATCATGGAGACAATAACATAATTTGACTGCAAGGTTCCCAGCAAACTAACCTTACTTGGAAACTGTGATCAAGGGCCCTTCTCTTTGTTTCTAGAGACAACCACTCAATGAGTTCTCCTTGACAGTTCCAGACGACCTTATATTGTAATGAGTGCCCTAGTCACTGAAATTGTCCCCTTCTCAAGCATTTATCAGCGTCAATTTCTGTTTGCATTGCTTCTGTTGCAAGGATGGTAAACCCTTGGATCCCTTCGGCTCTTCTCTTCCTTCCGCATCTCCACAGATGTCAAGGTACCCCGCGGCCAGTACCTTAGTATTTGTATTTATTTACTGATGTCATGTCTCCAACCCCTGGCGCAGTCTTAGTCCTCGACAGAGACAGAATTAAATGGTGGAGCCCATGCCCTGACTCCGGAAACGGCTACGAAATTTGTACACGAATCCGGTGAAGGGTCTCGGGGATGTCCCCTTACTCGGGCCAACTACCGGGACTTTTCTCCTTAAAACGTGGAATCTGCAACCCCGGAGTCACGGACATTGTAATTTCAAGTATTGGCGCTTTATGGTTGGCGGGAGCAACAACCATGCGGCCTAATTGTACAACGGCCATCGGGTAACGGCAATTATAATGCCCCTACCACAAACCTGTAGATCCATCGAGTGGACAAAGTCATAATCTGATTCATCTGCTTCCTCATTTACAGTGTTGTCAGTCACAGATATGATCACTTTCATCCTCGAAAAAGGTACGCTATACAGATCGGATTACTAGTTAAGCCTGAAAATCGCTACAATCGAAAATCAACTATTACACGCTGACACTATCCTTCTATTCTGGCCCAGGCAGGCTTCCCGTGCCAAAGAGCTCAGCTTTGATCCTGCTATCATCTACACCATAATTCTTTAGCGCGCGCCTCATATCCTCCATAAAACCATCTGGGCCACAAATATAGTATTCCGTGGTTTTGTCATCTAGGAACAGATCCTTCTGCCTCTCCACCTTGGCCAAGTCCAAACGGCCTTGGTGGTGGTAGTCCACGTTGTGGACGTCAGTTTCGGACGGCTTACTAATGAAGATGGTCTCATGAATATTGGTGTGACTCTCACAGACTTCGCGCACATGTGCGGCGAAGGCCTGAGCCGACACACTCCTCGCAGAATGTATCCATGAAATTGGTCTCGGAGACCCCTGAGCCACAAGGGAGTTGAGCATCGACAACATTGGTGTGAGACCCACGCCGCCGGAGATAAGGACCACAGGTGATGTGCTTGTCTTGTCTTCAAGATCGAGAAAGAACTCGCCCCGAGGAGCCGAAACTTGTATTATGTCTCCTTGGTTCTTCAAGCGGTGTAGAACGGTTGATACGTATCCCGGATGAGCGCGTGATTGAGGTTCGGATAAGTCAAGACCGTCTTCTCGTTTTGTACTGATGCGATAGTAGTCTGCTCGCGGCGCCTCGCTCAGCGAATACTGCCTGGCTTGCATATGCTTCAGTTCTGGTATATCAACTCTGACAGAGATATACTGTCCTGGCTTGAACAGAGGCAGTGGCTGTCCATCGACAGGTTCGAGGTAGAAAGAGGTTATGTCGTCCGCTTCCTTGACTTTCTTTTTGATGACAAAGTCGCGCCAGTCGGTCCAATCCGGTCTCATAGTGTATAGCTCCTTTTCTCGGCCAGCCATAAGATTCGCCAACTGTGTGTAGGCCGCAGTCCAAGCATCAAGCACGTCTGGGGTCAAAGCCGAACCAAGAACAGAGCCCATCGCAGCTAGGAGGTACCTGCCCACAATATCATAATGCTCCGGGCGAACAAACAGCGAGGCGTGTCTCTGGCACATAAGCTCAACTGCGGGGCCAAGCACAGCGAGATTATCAATGTTGGCAGCGTACGCGTACAAAGCAGCAGCCAACGCCCGTGGCTGATGGCCATTGTCTTGATTTGTTCGACTGAAGATGTTGTAAAGCACAGGGTTTTCTTTCAGCATAGTGCTGTAAAAGGAGGTCGTGATAGCGTTGCCATGCTCAGCGAGAACAGGGACTGTTGACTTGATGATTTGAACTTGTTCAACAGAAAGCGGCATCGTGTAGGTTTCTTCTTTCTTGTCTATGTGAGTTCTAAAAGCACGTCGTGGGAGTTGGGAAGCTTATCTCTATGTAAATGTTGCCTCCAGAATTCCGCTTGAAAAAAAACATACGATGTTCAGATAATATCAACAAGAGCATCTCCGCGCCACCTCCAAGGAAATGTTGGTCCCAAATCACTGCGACCTATCATCGTGAAAACTTTGAAAGGACAAATAGATCTCCGATCCATCTCCTAGGAGATGTTTTGATTATTGATCCCGTCGAGGCGTGGCAGTCGATGGCAGTGCGAGTTATCCAATCAAGGAGGGGTTATTACGATAGCCTCCCGTTAATTCCCGTGGGGGGGAGTCGGCTATGTGTGCACGTGAATGTAGGCCAGGGTTGTAGTCTCTCTCTGTCACGCCACCACAGCGCCTGTTACGATTAATCGTACATGCTGTCAGTGTAGGGGGGCCAGCCATGTGATCTTTTTTAGCGTAGCCGCGGGCAAGTTCTAGCCTCACTATCGCTAAGGTAAGGTAAATATAAGCGAACGCCCTAGGATAAGTAAGGGTTAGTCTTGATTAAAAATACAGCTTAAATACGTCACGCAGCTGTCGATACCCGAGAACCGAGGTATTTGGATTGACAAAACTTTGTCTTCTCAATGCAACCACTTGTCGACCGGAACTCCACGCTTAGAACAGAAACACAACCACAACCACTATCCTACTTGTCAGAAGCTTACGTTTCGTGGTTCATGGCTCCGAGTTCATTGCAAAGTCATTTCTGGAGTAGTGTCTCTGAGTGAGTTACCCGCAGGTTCCGGGACAGGTCCTCCTCAAGCAACCAGCAATTCCTCGAGTTTGTCCGTCAGCAGTCTTGCGAAAATAGGTTTTTCTTCTAATCATTTACCGCCAATCATTCCTACCCCTTCAAATAGCTCATTTGCGATGCGGATCGAACCCTCAATTCTGCCTTACAATTGGTAGCATTTCAGAAGAATCACAATAGCTTTATCCGGTCTGTATGTTCCCTGTCCTTCCTTGAAAAGCTCTCGTATCTTTGTCGTTGAACAACACGAGGTGAGTATCTGCTCTGCTTCCTGGTACCGTTCCTGACGAACAAGTACCTGCGACAAGCAGACTCTTCCGAGTAGGGTGCCGGCATGATTTTCGCGATTTCTTTCGGCAATTGGGAGAGTCTGCGTAATATGTTTCTGCTTCGTCCGTTTGATTTAGAGCAATCTTGATTTGGGCCAGGTTTGCAACGGATAGTAAAGTGTATAGCTGCTCCTTAACCGAATTTTTTTCCGATGCTCTTCGAGAACATATACCATCATGGCATGGGCAGAATTCAGAAGTTCACCCCCGACCTCCATATATGTCAGAGCGAGATTTTCATGGCACCCAGCGTACGCAAATGCATTGGATCAAGTACCCTTTTCATTCCGGTCATGGAAGAAGTACCTGGACATCACCTTGTCAAGGTTGTCCTAAGCAGTGAGCGTGTCTTCATGATCTACACCTAGTATCTCTGTCATCCTTTGGATGGCCTTTTCATGCAATTCTCGTACCTCCGTAAATCGACTTTGCTGGGTACAATTCGACCCCAACGTGTCCATTACCTTGAGCGTCTTGGGGTGATCGGGGATTCATTAGCATTTCAAGCGGATTATTTTGAGAAGACTTCCGTGGGCCAGACTTTCGAAATCAAGTTACTCGGCAAGGTTGGGTATTTTACCAAAGATCCCAAGAATCTCGAGGCGATGCTATCGACTCGATTTGAAGGTGAGAGCCTAGCTGGAATATTGATTGGTAGTTTCCACAGGATTTCTAATTGTATATTTCATGTGCTGTCTAGATTGGGGTCTTGGATCACGACGTCCCGGTCTTTTCCCCATGATCGGAGAGAGCATTTTTACTCAGGAATCAGGATGGGCAGACTTGGAAACATTCTCGAGAGCTACTGTGTCCCCAGTTTGTGCGAATACAATACCAAGATGTGAAGTCTTTGATGGGCCTGTCAATGGCCTACTAGCCTGGTCTCTCCTCCTCTAATGGCGTGACTGGCGTTGTCGATTTACAACCATTCTTCTTTCGCTTTACACGGGCCACCACAACCTCGCTCATCTTTGGCGAACCTTCCGCCGGCCTTAATCGAGCAGATCATGAAATCTTCGAAGAGAATTTTGACTATCGTTCGCTCATTTCTGCTATGCGGTTGCGCCTTGCCGATAGGTGCTGGTTATATAGTCCTCTATATGCCTCGATATCAGTGCTCCCCTATATATATAGAGCTATAGTTACACTCTTTCACTTTAGTCAAGTCAGTCACCCTCTGTTGAATCCCTCCATTGTGGCAGAATAACAAGAGAATAAGGGTTGTATGTGACAGTTAGATTAGTTCCTGGATTAACACCAAGTTTGGACTTGGTAATTTCTTGGCATCTCTATTAATCTTCGTAACATCGAGACAGTCACGCTCCTCGGTTTCAATCCTTGCCGTCCCCTTTCCACAATAATGCCTGAATCCCCCAATAGCATCCTGCCATGGGCAGAATCGTACCTTCGTAACATCGTATCTTCGTAACTTCGTATCTTCGTACCTTCGTATCTTCGTACCTTCGTGAAATATACCCATACGCCTGCCAACTCCCGCTAAATAAGCACAGCAAAATCTAGGCCATCAATATTCCCGCTCAGTCACTAAGCTCAATTATCTCATCAGAATTCGTCGATATCCTTTCCTTTTCGTCAGGCAACTCCTCTTTAACACGCTTAGAAGAACGTGAGAGAGCCGAAGTATTGATCTGCCCCTCACTCATCCTCTCTCGCTTCACAACACTGGGAGCGGGTCTAGCTCTTGAACTAGAGCCGCCAGCGGGTGCAAGAGCAGAGCCATCACCGTATTCAGGAGCAGCTTCAGACCTTGGGGTGATATCGAGTGCCCTACGGATCGTTGTCAACGCCTCTTGTGTTTTCTGCAGATGGGCTGATAGCGCTTGGTTTCTGCCATTAGCTTCTTGCAACTGCTGTTCAAACTGCTGACGATTGGCTTCGATATTGGCCAGTGCATCTCGGAGTCGCTGCTCCATGGTCTGGAGTTGCTGTCGTTGGGCTTCATTTTCTGCCTAAGTTGATATACTAGTTAGCACCGTTTTAATGCTGCAAAATCGAATAAGCATTTACCTGTAGCCGGGACAGATCCCGTCGAGTCTCTTCTGTGACAGAGATGTTGTTCCTATTAGCAACATCCCTTCCCTCCCTGGGTAGACGATTTTGAGGGACACGAGTGTCCATTTCAATGTCCATGTCAGTGGCACCACCGTCATCGTCACTGCGGTCAGTATAGTCATCGTCACCATCACTGTCCCCATCACTGTCCCCATCACTGTCCCCATCACTGTCCCCATCACTGTCCCCATCACTGTCCCCATCACTGTCCCCATCACTGTCCCCATCACTGTCCCCATCACTGTCCCCAGTAGGAGCGCCTTCATTTCCACTAGCAGCGATGGGGCTAGAATCGTCATATAGGTCGTCGTGTGGGTCATTCAAAACGCGACTGACATATTCCTCATGCTTTATCGTCGCAGGTGATGGACGGGTGGGCAAATTAAGACTTCGCTCTGCGGAGATACTAGTAGGAGATCTCGGGCGTACGGCTGGTGGAGGGCAGCCAAAGAACGCCTGAGGGGTCGTACGAGCCACCATGGGGAAATATTCTGCTCGATGGTCCAAGTTCCGAAATGTTACGTTAGAATCTTTGCGTGGCACGAGCTGTTCCGGGCAGCCACATCCCGAGACGAACTGGCGGACCTCTCTAGGAGAATCCGAATCCACATTCGAGAATAGTATATCGTCAGATAGACCTATTACTTCATTAGCCAGGTCAGGATATAGGGTCTCTCGAGAGTTTACCATCACATCGCAAAAGCTCATGTCTCTTCTCCGAACATGTTGACTGAAGATGTAGGACTACTCCGAATTGTGGCTCTAAGCCATAGAGTCTAGAAACCCTGTCCCCATCTAAATCTGTCCACGTCACTTTAAGTTCCCCTGGCTCAGCTGTTGAGACTTTGACCAAGCGTGGCATCTGATCAAGGTTCTCCCGGACTGTCACACGCAAAGAATCCTCTGGCCTTGTCAAAGACTGTGATTTTGAGTCCACCCTACGCCCACTGCCTTTCTTTAGTTCTGTGAGAAGCAGGTCATAGAGGTGCGTGACAACATGGTTGCAGGAGAAGCTCTCAACGTTGATGCCCTTCTTAGTAGCCGACGTAAAAAGAGAACAGGGTGTGCTTCTGTGGCTTGAACGGAAATCAAGCCACTTCTCGTGGATGAGGAGGTCTGACTCGTCTAGGAGCAAATCAAGTCCTTCTTCGGTTCCACATTTGAACCTTAACGTTAGTCCACTTGTTCCCGGATCAAGATCTAACATGGCCCTTAAGGATCTTTTGACTTGGGCGGCATAGACACTATCCTCTTTGACGTAATCTGGGGCGTTTTTCAACAAGTGGTCTTGCTGTTCCTGAGGAGTGTGAACAAGCCTATATTTTCTGAGTGGGGCCCACACAGGATCTGCTAGCCGTACAGGCTCCTTTTTCAGGCTCTTCTGAATGATTTCGATATCGATATCAGAATCATTCCCCCCATAATAGAAACACTTGCGCTCAGGGTCTTGGTCAAGGTAAAATTGCCATATCCTTAACGCCGTTCGTCTCGGAATGTGTTCTTTTGCAAGAGAGACGTCGGCCCACGCATAATGAATGTCTTGCAACATCTCAATGTATTTAGGGAGGATTTCTTGCTCCGTCTCAATTGCGAAGTCCCAGATTCTTGCTAGAAGATGAGCCTCTTGCCACGCGCTTCCTAGCCTTTCACGGTCTCGATTGATCTTTCCTGTCAAAAAGTCGTAACCAAACTTAAACAAAGCCCCCTCGTTGTCCTTGCGTGGGAGGAGAAGGCCTTTTAGGAAAATCTTGTTTTTAAAACTCTCGTCTAAGATCAGACTACCACAGTATGTCTTAATCATCCGTGAAGGAGAGTCAAGGTCGATTGACACCTTCTTCCATTCAAGAAAGTCTTCCTTCTTGATTTTCTCCGACTTTCCGTGGACATTGCCAATCTTGACGCTCACATCTTCCCATATGTTCGCCTTTCGTTCTCTTGGCAAATTCCTGTCGACTTTCTTTTGATACGCGTCCTTCTGATTCTGAAGCTCAGAAACTGTGATATCAGAGAACCAACAGTACAACTGTTTTCTATTAGTTCCCCCCCAACGAAAGTTCCAATAGAACCCCGAAGCTGCGATATTGACAGCGTATCCGGTACGAAGCATTACCAATGTTGCCAGCTTAAAACCTTCTCCATGGCCACCTGCCAAGTGGTCCTTGTTGGCTTTTGTGCTAAAGCCTAGCGCAAGGCTGCTAGGAGTCAGGATAGCACCAAAATTGGCAAATTCAATGACCCCAGAACGTTCCGAGTATTCAATGAAGCCCAGCATCTGGTCTTTGTTGGGGTGGTGGGCCTCGGTGACATATATGCCGCTAGTAGTATCAAAGCCTTTGTGGATATGTTTGAGTCCCACTGCCTGAAGACCGAACGACTCGATAATGGCGTCCTTCCTAGTAGGGTGTTAGAGTTGTCACGAATGTCAGGAGATACGCTTACCAATTTTGGTATATTTCCCTAAACCCATCACTCTCACCCCATCGACGGACATAATCAACGGTCAGGCCCATACCAATACTCTTGCCAGGTCGCAGAGTCTCCCGATCTTCATCCATGAGGGCTCGCGTGCCTTGCTTGTGACTCGGTTGGTTCAGCGCCATTTCGTCTGCAGGGACCAGGAGAACGGGAGTGATCCGTAATCAGATCGAGCGTCGCGGTGGGATATGTAGGCACAGTAATGGGTTCATATGCGGTAGCGAGTCTGTAGATTGACAGAAGAATTCGGGGGCTGTGAAGTGTGATAGATTTACCTGGCGGCTTCGTGAGAGACGACGTTGCGTTGTGCGTGAAGCAGAGAGAATCTGTGAATGGAATCGACAGGGGACGCCTCTCGCCTATCACGATCAGCTACGGTGATCGAAAAACAAACCCAGATCCTCTGTTGTATCGAATCGTCGAGTAGATGATTCAGGACGCCGTCGATTGTTGCGGACATGTACTGTGCATCCTGCGTTGCCGGCGAGCAGTGCCGTTCGACCTTAGAGATTTACCACCATTATTGTCGCTGCCTCGAAAAAGAAAGCTTTGAGCACATCCTCGTTGAACCCTGATCAGAATGTCAAATCTCAACGTGTACAGAATTGAGCGCGCTGCACGGCAAGACGGCTGGGACAGCGATCCTTGGAATCCTCTCATAGGTATATAATGTTTTATGATATGCGCGTCAGCCACCAGCTCACGTGTGATATCACCAACACCGCCCTCATATCCCTCGCCCAGAACTCTTCTTACCACTCCTCTACCTACTCTAATCCAAGGCACAGTTCACGATACAGAAGAACTGCGGAGGACATCACTCAATTGCCATGGCGCGAACCATCTTCACCACCATCACGCCGCTCCCGGCGAACATCTCGCGCGAAACCGTCCTGGCGACGCTGCACGACCACCTCGAGATGATCGACCTCTCGCCATCGCACGAGTCGCGACATATGATCAAGCCGCCGCCCGAAGCCACGCCCGAGGAATACCACTGCCAATGGTACTCGATCACCGACAAAGTCGCATACCTCCCCGCGGGCATGTACAGCGGCAGGGTCTCGTTCAAGGCCTGCTTCCACGACCTCGCGATGGGACTACAAACACACGTCTACGCGCCCATGGGGCTGGATATCAAGGAGAAGTGGACGCTGGAGGGGAATCTGCCCCACGAGCCGGTGCAGCCCGCGGAGCTGGGCATTGGCGCCCCGATCTCTGGCCTGTATCTGCGCGAGGACGTCGAGATGAAGTGCAACTTTCTCATGACGCGCTTCGTCAAGAAGACGCTGAAGGAGAGCCTGGCCACCCTTGTCGCCCGCTTGGTCGTCAAGACCCAGCTGGAGGAAGCGGCCGAGCGCAACAGACGCCTCACGCACAACGCGATGAACGCGATGCAATCATTCTCCCCGCCTATCTCCCCGCCATTGTCGCCGCCACTGTCGCCGCCACTGTCGCTGCAGTCTCCGTTCTCAAGTCCGCCGCATACCGCAACGTTGAATATGGAATCGCAGCCGAAGTGGGCACAGGATCAGGCATTGGCTGCCCCGGGACAACAGATGGGCTTTCTGCCCACCAACGCGCAGTACGATCCTGCGCACTATGGACATGTTACGGTAAACGAGAGGGGTGCGGATCAAAAGCCTCAAGGGGGTGGGATTGCGGAACTCCCATAAGCGTGAGTATGGCCATGGTCGGTTTATACTATACCAAGCTTGAACCAGAGCAACATGGGAGAACAAGCCATGCATGAAACGCCTGGGCTTGATTAATGAGATAACGAGTGATGATAATGAATTATGACTGGCGAGATATGAACGGGAAGCCAAAAGGAACTTCTCCTTTGGGGGTTTCAGGTAAATGGATGAAGCGGGTTGGAAGCACGGTAGGAATGTTATTGCGTTGTTTGTGTTGCTGATATGGCGCTCATTGTTGGTTGGTAGGTATGTCGATATGAGGCAACGAGCCGGTTGGTGTTTTGGGGCGTTTCTGAGATACCATGAGCGGGCACACACGGTCAATGGAATAAGTTACGTCCCTAAACACGGCAGACCTTCCTCCCCTGTGCTTGTTTCAGCGAATTGATATTGATACGAGTAGCAAATCCTTAATCCTGCCTAGCCTTTCTCTCACCAACGATCGCTGCACCAACTGCTGGCTGGGGGCTCTCACGTGATCTGGGGAAGGCAGCGTGAAGCTCCCCCTTTTTGGAGATCGACGTCGACATTGGCCTAGATTTCTTCAACTCGGCAACTCAGCACCCAATGAACGAGACTATTCAATGCGCAGAGCCTCGATTGTGAAACACCGTGAGAGTCAGAATCTCCATCTCTGCCCCGGTCCTGTCAGCTTGAAGGATGTCAAGGATCGACTACGCGGCGCGGCGCAGCTCTTCCTTCGGCTGCTGATGGATCGCTCACCCTCGCTCACCCTCGCTGACAGTCTTATTCGAGCACTCCAGGAATTGCTCGCGAGGCTTTGAAAAGAGAGAGGATTCCCCATCTGCGAAATCCATTTCATCCGTCAGAAATCCATAATAACGATGTCGACGCAGGCGCGCTCGGTGATCGTTCTAGGAATATATGAGGGTCGAGCGCCCGGTCCTGTTGTTGACTCTGTTAAAGATTCTGCAATCCTTCAAAGACATGATCTTGTTTTTGTTGTGACCATGACCAAGGTCTCGTGGTCCTGTGTCGAAATCTCCTGCTGCATACCCAACTGCACAGCGCCGTGTTTCCACCCCAAGATCTCGCATGTCATATCACACGGCCTGCCTTCTCCCCTCTCGCCCTTCTCCCCCGTCTCATCATGTACCTCTCGTCCCGCCAACAAGTCTGGAGATCTGCCGCCGTCGTCTTGCTGTGGGAAGGTGCACAAGCACTTCCTATATTCGATCGTGTTGCCGACTTCATCGAACACCGACGACTCGAGCACAAGATCCGCGCTCCAGTCCCCGGAGAGAACGACCCCGTCATCAGCCTCTACGCCTTATACCGCGCCCATAGTCACCCCGACGACGCCTCCGGAACGTCCCAGCTTGCGGGCTCGCAGGAACACTTTGACCAAGCTGAAGATTCCCGAGTCTCCACCGCTCTCCTCACCGCTGCCAGTTCCACAAGCACAAGTACAATCCCCTCAAGTACAATTCCCACCAGTGCGGCCCCCGTCCCGGAACCACAACAACAGGAGCGCGGGCCCCAGTTTGTATCCCGATATGTTCCTGCCGATGCCTTCGCAAATGCAAACCGGGAGCGGGAGCAGACAAGTGAGCCCTCTATCCACGACCTATTCGCCGTTTATGAACCGGGACTTCCTAGCCATGAGTCCCATAAGTCCGCTCGTGCCCTCCAACAACCCCTCACCTATCATGGGGGCCGCATAACCATGTCTCCGCTCCCATTCTCTACACCCCAGCCGCCGTCCTTCCCCAAACTGCAAGCCCACCACAAGACGCAGCAGGGTCGGTTGCCAAAGAATCGGCTTGGGAACGCGCAGTTGCCGCAGAACGATACACATAACCCCGAGACTGCATCGCCATCTCCACCGATCACCCTCTCACACCGGACCTGCAAATCTCTAGTAGCCACCGAACGCGCCCGTCTAACCCAAGACCTCGCATCGCGCCTCCCCAACTCCCCACTCTTCCGCATCCAAGAAATCATCGCCTTCATCACACACGATATCAAATACCACGTAACCCTCAAGCTACACGTCTCGTCCTCGCTCCCAGGGTACAGATTCCGCGCTTTACTTGCGTGAATAGGTAGTCAGTGTCAAGAAAACGCTCACGCAAAAGAGATATAAACGGCGCCGGGTTCGGGACCGTCGAGATTGGGGGGGGGGGTTTGGTGTTCGAGGGTGTAAGCATCCTTGAGGAATGGAATGTGTTCTTCTTGAGATATGAATGGGTTCTGAGTTTCGTTTATCCGTATTCGAATTTTCTTTTTTCTTTTTCTTTTTGATTGATTGATTGATTGAATTGCTAGGGAATGGAAAACTGGGCGTAAGGTAGGTAGGTGTATATATAGATAGATAGGTATATACCCAACATCGGTGTTTGGGATTCAGGAAAAGAAAAGGGGGGAGTTTCTTTCGCTTTGACTACCTATATAGGTAGACATTTCCTGTATATCAACCAAGGCTTTATCTATCCAGGCTTCTTTGCTTCAGCAATCTAACACGGGTTTTATCATCATCAGCTACCTCATATAAGGTATCATAGGGATAGCCATATTCATTGTTCACGGGCTACTTTCAATATAGCCTGAAATCATATATCAGAGACCTACCTATCTACGGAGTATCGATCCCCCGCAATACCACTGCTGTATCACGCAGCGCTCAATTCCTCGATCCTCCTCTCAATCTCCGGTACCTGCTTGAGCTGCAACATCAAGTCCTCCCGCTCATCCTCCAGCTTCAGTCTCCGATCGGCATCCAGCTTCGTGTAGATATACTTGCCCTGGCCATCAAATTGCAAGATCTTGTTATGATACTTCCACAGACTCCGGCGGTGAGAGACCGTCATTAGCGTAATGCCAAGAGCTTTGGCCTGCTCGTACATGACCTTTTCCATCTCCAACGTGACTGAGGATGTACATTCGTCGAGGATGGCGTATTTGGGTCGGTTGTAGAAGAGCCGTGCCATGGCGACGCGTTGCTGGAGGCCACCGGAAAGGACGTCGCGCCACTCGGCTTCCGCGTCCCAGCCCTCGGGGAATGAGGAGACGAGGTGGTCGAGGTCAAGGATGCGGAGGATGGAGAGCAGATCGGCATCGGTGATGCCTTTGCTGCGCATGGTGAGGAGGGAGTCGGGATAGATGATCTGCTGTCGGAGCGAGCCGGCGCTCAGATAAGGGCGTTGCGGGACATAGAAGACCTGTGAGAGCGGCGGTTTGCGGACTGTGCCGCCATATACGGGCCACAAGCCGCCCAAAATCCGGAAGAGGGAGGATTTGCCGCAGCCGTTGGGGCCGACTACCAACACGTGATCTCCACTCTTCATTGAGAATGTGAGCGCCTTTACGAGGACGCTGCCACCAGGTGTGATGATGGGTCTGTGACTGTTAGCAGTGGAGTTGGGTTCAGGAATTTGGGAACCTACACATCAATAAACTCAATGTCCTCGCTCTCAATGACTGTCCCACGACCACTCATCAGTTCCAGCTGCTCGGCCGAGCTTTCATCTGAGACGAGGGTCTTCTCGAAACGCCCTGCCTTGATATCATCCATTACGTCTAGCAATGTCGCAACTCGTGACGTATAGCCAGCTAATTCTGTTATCTCCTTGTAAGAGAACATAACCCGTCCGAAAGCGTCGGAGCTCGAAAGCAGCAGCCGTCGGTTGGTCACAAAACTTTCTGTCCGGTCTCCCATTGTTGCTGCGGTAGCTCCTGGGATCTTGAAGAAGACGGGTACACTGCAGAGAATTAGACCCAAAGCGCCCCATACATATTTGATTATAAAGTCCTCCATGACGCCGTGTGTGAAACGCCGCCGCAGAATATCTGTAAGAAGCGTCAGTACTAGAGGGGATCTCTGAAGCATCAGGGCGCGTACAATTTACATGCTTGATAAGCGTAAAGTACCCTTTATCCAATGTATCCTTCTCAGCCTCATGGCCATTATATAAAGCAATCTCCTCGCTGTAATCTATTAATCTTGAATGTTCGAATCGGAACTCGCCCTCTAATCTAGCCTCGTCCGCCACATATTTTCCAAACGGAGGGGTTAGTGCGCGCATGACATTCGCCGATAATTGAACAAGTAATGACATGAAAAATAACCCTGCAAAAGGTCAGCATCCCTGATCCTCGAACTCGATTTTCGAGCAGCGGTCATAGTCCAATGACGTACCTTCACCCCCAACGCTTTTAGATAGCGAGTAATTATATATTGACATGTCCAGTGTTGGCTTTGCCAGGTTCCCATATAGCTCCGCCAGACTGTTGGAAAACTTCGACACGTCCACAGTAATTAGCTGGTCGGCGTTCTTTATTCGGTCATCAAGCGCTGAGAGGGAGTAGAAAGTCATGTTCGAAAGGTATTTGTCGTGTATGTAATCAGTTAACCGCGTGCGGTACTGGAGCGAGAGTTTGCACTGATGATATGAGAGCTATATAGTCATTAGCAAGGGCGGATCAAGCATCCAGGACCATGGAAGCTATACCATAGAATTTGTGAAGGTCGCAGGCACGGCAATGAGCATCCACCATACGATGCCGATTAAGAAGTCCTTCCCCTTCCCTCTCACCAGACTTGAAACCAGTGCGCCATCCATTGCAGCAACCTTCAAACTGATCAGGGTCCGGACCACCAGGAAAATGCTATGGCTGATCAACAACCGTAACTCCTTGCTCTTCCATCCCGGTATGCAAATCCTCAGTAGCCGGAACAAGTTCTTGAAAAATTCCCTATTCAGCTCCACCTTCTGCCTCTTTGTAGCTTCGCCATGGCCAAGCGTGGTCGCAGCCCGCTGTCTTGCAGCTGCTTGGCGTGCTGCGGCTGCTTTCTGCTCCGAGATGGCAGAGCGTATGCGGTTGAGAAGGGCGAAAAAGAGGGTCAGGTAGACGCATCGAGAAATCTTGGTTCGGTGCTTGAGATAGAAGGTCGTGAGCTCTGATATTATGCTTTTGAGGGTTCGATCAGGGGGAATGATGCTGAGTTTCGACTGTGCAGCCATGTTCCCGATCCCTGCGGAGCTCTCTTTGGAATGCGGAGAGATTGTGGGGAAGCTGTCAATTGTCACCGCGATGCGGGGCGATTCGAGGGCCTCATGGGAGATGTCTCGACAGTTTGTCTACAAGACGGCAGGTCAATCTGGTAAAGAAAAGTTTCCGGAAAGCAAGGTGCTCATCGAGGATGTCGTCGTTGTTCGTTCGTTGTTGAAACATAATCGAGAGTCTTGGATTCCCATCGAGTTGACCATCTCAGCCTCCTCGGCAATAACCGTCGCTTTCATGTGCTTCGAGACATGGTGCACGTGATCTCGATCACAACAGACTGTTGAGTTACTACCTACCTACTTATCCTTTGCTATATTTTCTTCTAATCATCAAGGCCTCTGACATCTGAATCACTGTGGTATGCGCCTTGAAGAAAAGGACAAACCCCAAGCCTTGCTTCGATAGCAGACACGCATTTCCATGACCGAGGTATGGAGGTACTCGCTCTGCCCATATTGGTAGTATATGGAACCGTCACCTTGTCAGTTAGACGGTCATCTGGGGTATTTGCCAAGTCATGGATTTGCAAAGTAAGACTTCAAGTTGCTGAGCGCTGTCAAGTTGAATCCTCCCATCCATCCTCTGTCTGCTATGCGCCCCCCCACCAAAAAGAAACCAACCTCTTCTCTCTCAGACTCTCACACTCTCCCGGAGAATAATAGTCAAGTCGTAATCGCGCCCACATCCTCTATATACCGCTCTTAACCCCACAGGGCTTTTGAAGTCGATGTGGTATCCTAATACAGGTACATAGTGACGAGAAACCGTACCTCTCCCGCATGTTCGAGTGAAAAGACAGCGGCTGCAAGTTCATTTGCTCTTCTTCCTGTAGACTAATGGACTTCATGGGGTTGAATCAACTCGCAGTTGACAACATCGTGTGTACGGAGCTGGACGAAGGATCCGAGCCAGAAGCAGAAGTAGAACTAGCTGTGGCTGTAGCCGTAGAGGACCCTCCAGCAACCTCAACTTGATGCCCGTGATGCACTGCTGTATGCTCCTCCACATGCGGTTCCGAGTTGTGCTGTGCGGGCTGCTCTATTTGTTGATAAAGCTTCTCTGAATCTTCTGTCTCCTTCCCCTTCCCCTTTTCCCTATGTTCTGCTTCATCCATCGCAGTATCACCCTCCAGATCGACATGTCTCTCTTCTACCCATTCGTCCTGGAACTGATCACCCACCTGGCCCACATCAGCATCAACTGGCCTCACTTTTCCCCTCCTTAAATCACCCGCAATACTCTCTTGATCCCTCTCTCCATCCCATTCATCCCGATCTTCACTTCCACTCCAGCTCCCCGTCCAGCTGTTACTCGTCTCCCAATCGCTCCCCTCGTAATCCCCGCTGCCGCCCTCCCTGGGCCGATTGCCATTCCTCACCAGTCTAAGTGTCTCCTCCACGACCAAGAAATCCCTCTCCAACATCTCCGCCCAATTCTGCACATTTCCCAATTCCTTCACCTTGCGCTGTCCCTCGTCCGCGACCTTCTTCAGTTTGTCCGTCTCTTTCCTCAGCCCCTCTGTTGCTTTCACCACGTCCTTCTCCTGCTTGCTCAGTTGTGCGGAATTCGAATGGAGGTTCTGTGCGCGCGATCTTAGGTTGTGGTCGAGGGAGGAGCCGATGTTGTTCATGGAGGCTTCGAGGGCGGCGCGCGCTTCGGCGATCTGGCGGAGGGTTTCTGGGGAGTGCGGGAGAGTCGACGGGGAGGTGGAGGAGATTGGGTTGGACGGGGACACCGAGGAAGTGGCCCCGGGGATCGAGGGGGAGAGAGAGGGCGCATCGGTGCTTGTAGATGCTGATGCTGATGCCGATGCAGACATGTTGGACAATGGTGATGGCGGGGTCTGAGAGGAATTGCTGGAGAGGGCAGATTGTGTCGACCTGCCTCCTATGATGGATGCAGACTGGTCAGTTTAAATCACAGAATATATCCTTCGGTATGGATGATGAGGGACGGGCTGCCTGTTGTGAGAGCTGTGGCTCGATCTTTCGATCGGGTCGGGCAGCGAGCCTGAAGCTCTGGTGATGCGGGGTTTCACAACCAAAAATACAAGGGTTTGGATTTCACTGGGATTAGAATGCCTGGGCCAAAACACTCAATTCGGTCATCACTACTGAGTGCAAAATTCTGTCATTGCTTTTGAAATTGCATAGCACTCCGTCAAAGTTCATCTAGGCAGTATCCTGCAAATGTAACTCCGTGCCATGATCTCCCCAGAAGTACACGCCCAGACCAAGCCCTTAGAAAACCATCTACTTGCGGAGTTGGCGTTGGTAGAAAGCCAACTCCTCTCCCTCCAAGATGTAGCCATCAACACGTCCACTCTGTCCGGGTCTGGATGAGATGACGGCGTAAAGACGACCGGCCTCGAACTGTCTCTCCAGAGCTGGCTCGACCTTGCCCTGGGCAGCGAGGCGTGCGGCCTGCTTCTTCTCTACACTCTTGCTCTTCTTCTCCGGCTCAGTGGCTTCCTGTCCAGCCTTCTGTTGACGTCTGCGGCCCAATGCCTGACCGTAGTGTGCCTCGTACCATTGTCTGAAGGGGGTGGCATCGACCTGGACGACGGCGGATTTGGTGAGGGTGTTGGTTCGGACCAGCTCGTTGTTGGAGGGGTGGTAGGCGACAACGATCACACGGACCTTGCGGGCAATACCCTCAGAGGCCCAAGAGAAGTTACCGGATTCGAGACGAAGGGCACGGAACTTTCGGTTGCCACCACGGGTACGGACGAGATGGATTCTCTTAGGTCCGATACGGGTGTTGGAGTCTTGTCGGCCGGCTTCGAAAGCGCGCTTCTTCCCTGTAAAATTCTTAGTTTTCAGGTTGGAACATATGCCAAAAGGCACATGGGCTTTCTACTACGCACGGTAATAAGCTCTCTTGGCGCCAGAGGCAGAGCGCTTGTGGCGGGAATCACGAGAGATACCCATGATTGCGGTTTCTGGATTGTGCAGACATGTCAGCAAGGATTTGAGGTGAGGTGTTGAGGGGATGAGAAAATAGGATGCGAGCCACAACCACACAATCAACAAGAAGGCAGAGTGCGCCGAGGGCGTGAACAAGGCCAAACAACTTCAGTGATCCGGCAATGATCAATGATCAATGCCTTTGCATATTCAAAACAAGAATAACGGTCGCTGGTTCCAGGTCCCAGGTCGCAACTTGAATTGATGTGCCTCTGCCTGTTCGCCCACGCGCACAACCCTCTGCTGGCCATGATCGCCGTTCGAAAGTGTGGATGATTGACTGTATAGTGTGTAAACAGTTGAAGGTATGTACTGACCTGATGATTTGAATGTTCACCAGTGCAATCGTTGTTGTCGTTGAGAGTTGGTCGAGAAGTTCGAGTTTCGCGATCAGAAAGTTTTTGGAAATGCCTTCTCGTGTGGGAACGATTCGCTTCGAGACTAGCGCTAGGCTAAGCGAGCACCCGCACCTTGACCAGCCATACAGTAGGGCAAAGCTGACTCAGCACATAAACTGCTTTTGGTGCCTTAGGATAGAAGTTCGAAACCCCCCCCCCTCTCTTAAACCCCCCTTTTTTCACTCCCCCTCCTGTATTGTATTGCTACATTAGGGGATGTTCTCAACTGTTTATAAGCATGAACAGGTAAAGGGGTAGAGGAGATATTGTAAATAGTTTTATTAGGGTCTAGGTTGATACGTCCTTTATGGTCAGAGCTTTTTCTGGCTAGAGCAGGCCTTTGAGGGTATAATTTCTCATGTTGTCTACTCCTCTATTGTCACAAACGCAAGATCACTACCTCATGCTCCGTCTTTAGTGTGTAGTACTTCTACTAATAGTCCTGCTAGTATTGACTGTAATAAGGTAATCAAGATCTATCTGTTCATATTATGAATTATAATTTACGATTTCCTCACTTTTACCAAGCCTGGCTGTATTTGAATTTTGCTCTCGATTCACTTTGCCAAAAAGTTCCCATCGCACGCTGTGAATATCTCCCTAAACACCACACTACGCGTTCCTTTGCTACGAATCCTCCTACTACAACCTTTGTCCGCGCCATAGACACTGGGTACCAGTACAGTAACCAGACCCGTGAAGTTAAGCCGATCCAGTTACTGACTTAAAGTTCCAGATCATGGAAGAAGACTTTGGAAGAAAGGAGCTTCGATCTCCCAAGATCGCGACAGAAGAACTAGACACAACCGGCATTTTCACTACTAAGCATCCGTCGCCAGCTTTCGTCCCTGGTCATCTCGTGGCACCTACCGCAAAAAGTCTCCTAGCTGTACGTCTTCTCCTATCCTCTAGTCATTTTGAAAGCTCAATTCCTAACCTCATCCCAGCCATACTTTGCCAAGAACCCCAAGTTTGACCTTGAGCACTTCCGCAATGAGCTTGCCCAAATGTCAGCCGAGCGCCGTCTTCACCACACCCACAGGTCCGCAACGAACTTGATAACAGTTTGTGAAAACCCCATCTGCCGCATCCTCAACTACCTGGAGGTCCTTATAAACACCACTCGCGACTCATGGACCGAGTCAGAAGTCCGCGCCGAGCTACGACGTGTTGATAGGTGGGAAGACCAGGGTGTCATGAATTACACCCCCGCAAGTCGGGAACAAGCTATGAAACTCCGTGGTTTGGGCACCAGGAAGGAGAGGAAACAGGCAAAGAGAGAAGATCGGAGAAAGGCAAGGGCAGAGGATGCTTTCATCAGAGAGCTGAGCGCATTTGGACTGGGAAGTGGGGAAAAGGATGATGCAAAGGAGAGAAGACATCAGAGAAGGGAGAAGAAGATTCGGAAGAGAGAGAGGATGACATTACAGGAGAGTCAGGATGGCAGGGGAAATGCAGAGGTGGGAGACCATGATGATATGCACATGAAGATGTGAAATCCTTTTGTTTTCACATTCTGCAGTATCCAGAATGGTGGCATGTATGTTCCTCCTGGGAGTCCTAGACCTCTTCCAGGATTGGGGGGTTCCTCGTCTTCAATCGCATAGTCATCGCCGGATGTATCATGTGGCATACGTCCTTTGATGAGCCCAGAACTCAAATCAAAGACGACATACACCGAACCAAGCGCACGGATTGATTCGAGTCACTCCAAGTCGCATATAAATGCGAGTCCCCAAGCGCCTCCTTTGCTTGGTCACTGTAGTACCTAACATCATTGATCATCACATACCCCATTTCGTCAACACGCAGAGGATGGAAATCGCCCCAACGCCCCGGTGTTGCACATAACGTAGTGTCCAACCAAGGTAATGTACGCCGGAATAATAGAAGTGAAAACCCAACACCAGCCCAATTGGTATCAAACCCCACCATTGCTCCCGATTTCCTGCTTAATCCTGATAGCCGTAGCAGTTGTGTGTCCGTTTGATGCCCCCTACGCATTCGGTCCTTGCGGCTTATAATACGGAGCATTCGGGCTTGTTTGCCCGTCTCCCCCGTCGAAAATGTACCCACTCCCATCATATGGAGTCTCTTCGTGCGCAGCCGCCTCCCAGGATTTTTGCACCACCTCAGCAACTCCCTGGCCTCCAGCGCCTATCAATTGCAGGTTCGGAGGCGGGAGTGGTAGGTATGCCTCTGGATCAGCGTTTAGGAAGCCGCCGTACGAGAGGGAGTTGTTGACTGCGGCCTGGTCATCTGGTGGATGGTTCGTATAGCCCGTCTTCTGTGCCACAAGTTCAAAGACATTCGCGCCTACGTCGTATCGTCCGAGGTTGGGAAGGTCCCAATTATTTTCGAGGGTTGAGAGGATGGAGTAATGGGTATATAGCGTGCTGTCACTTGTGCCCTTCAGGCTCTTCGGAACAGCCCCACCAAGGAGGATGGAAACTATGCGATTTGGTATAGAGTACGTTTCGCTTTCGTCATATGTGAGGAGAATGAGGGTGTTATTCATGAATTGCTCATTGGCTAGTAGAGGAGTAAGGAAGGACCGTGTCCAATTTGCTGCATATTCCAGAGACGTGTTATGCCCGTCATTCAGCATGTTTGGGGATAAATGAGAATACTGTGGGAGAGTATTCTTCTTGACATCTCGGTCGAAATCGGCAAAACTTTGGATCTTGGCAAGGCGTGTACCATTCATGCCGACGCTATCATAAGATACGAAGGGACTGTAGATATCAGCAATGCGCCCAATCAATCAGAAGCCACAAAGCGCAAACCCCGCATGCTTGTATAGACTCACTTATGCTTCCGGACATAATCCCATCCAGATCCATCCCGCGCTGTGCTCCCTGGGCCCAGATATCCAGGCCCAGGCAAACCCTCGAAATAGCCTCTCCAATCTATTTCTTTTGTATCAAGCAGATCCACCAGCGTCGAGACGTTGGAGGGTATCCTTATAAAATCATCATGGTTCAGTCCAAAGTAGTCGCCACCAACCGAGGCAATGTAATTGGGTTGAGAGGGGTGCGTGAGGCCGTAGTATTCTGTAAGGAGAATGCCTTGTTTCGCGAGATCAACAATGTCGGAATTGACGTCTACTTTCGTGAAATCCTGCGCGCATTGTTAGAATTGCTCGCGCAAAGAATCCGCGACGGAGGAGAGAAGACTTTATACCTGGTTCTCTAACCATATAGTAATAAATCTATCAAATGCCTTGCCCGGAACGTATGCTGCTGTCGCCGCTGCGCCTAGAAGGAAGAGCACGAATCGCATGATGAGAGTATATAGAACATAGGATGAATAGCAAAACAAGATAGAAACATCAGGAAAAGAGAGAAAAGAACATTTCCTCCAAGAAACTGTCCGTGAAAGGAGCGGCACTGCTTCGCCCTTGACGACTGAACTCCAGACGTTGGAAGTTCATGATGTTTCGACTTCAAAGCAAAGTAAAGGGGTCATGGAAGGCTCCTAGTGCCGCTTAGTCACTATCTATATATATCCCTTCCAGCTTAGCTCTGTATAGGCACTCCTCTATACGGTCATAACATCGTCAGCAGAAACAAAATAGTATGTACCTATTTATAGGGATGCAAGATAGGTACCTTAGACTTTGCTGTTATAGAATCTTTAGACAATCGCTTTTCAAGTTCTCTAAATTTCAATTCCTTTCCTTCTTAAGAACCCCACCCATCAGTGCCCTTGCTGACTAAAATTGCGCTGACTAAAGTAACATGGTATTTTCTCTGATGCAACATTTGGGCAAGAGAACAAGATGAGGATGTTCAAGATTATTGTGTTCTACTTTGTCACATATTCTAATTGCTAGATATGCCGAGTGGCAATGATCCACTATTCTATTTTCACCCCAAAAATCTCGGTGAAACAAGGACTTCTATACTACAAGTCCCGGCATATAAGATACCTTGGTTCAATGCAAGTGCGAAACACAAGAGTGTTAAGTGACGCAAAATCTCTAGAGGAACCACGGAAAATACAGGAAAACCTAGGGGTCGTTAGCGCAGGGGAGGAGCTTGCTACAATTATCTGCTGCAAAAGCAACACGTCTGAAGTCTGCGTGTGAGCGTGTCACGTCACCTTCCTGTCTGACCTCTGCCTATATCAGCTTAGGAGCCACTGTCATATTCAGTCGGGTTGAGGTACAGCGGTGTCACGGTGTGCATCATAAGGAGGCCACCATTCTGTACCCGTGCCTCTAGATATCTCGAGTGAGATACTGACTATGGACAAATTCTGTCTTTAACCTTCGTTGAATTCCACCCTTCTGCGCTATCTCATCCGAGATTTGCTACCAAAGCTTCTCAAGTCTTTGTGTTAAGAATTGCAGCACGCACCTTTAACCCGCGGGGACATTTAACCTCGAATTTCCTGCAGAGGAAATGCCTCATTTGGCTGCAAGGTCATCTTCAAGACTTCGATATCTGGATACCCCAAAGAGAATGTGGCGAGGGCAATAACTGGTACCTGCAGCATAGGCTCTTTATACCTACCCACTAAGGAAAAGGTAATTTCCGAATGTATTAAATGTTGATGGCCAGGTTATCATCTCAGACTTAGCTAGCAGCTTCACCCCACAGCATTACAATTCACAAGTGGATGCAATACCATAACAACTATTTTGGCCAAGTGAGCTCTGTTGCCCATTTCCGCCCCGATGGTTTGCATATATTGTTGAGAATATGCAGTCGTTGCCAAGGAATCAAGGATCAGATCCTCGGCGAAGCATGACAGCATCCTACCAGTGGGTCTCGAACAAAACGTTGGGTATATACATCATTCCTTCTCTCCTTCCCGTAACTACTCTTAGTCTCTCTTACAACTGGAATACCATCGAGGCAAGTACTCCAAGCACTACAGCCTTGCTCCACCTGCCTAGCACCCTCGGCGCGTTCGAAGTGAAGCTCCCATCTGAATGCAGAATCCCTTCACAACCAAAGCCAGTAAAAGTTTTGTTACCAGATTGTAAACACGAAAATATCTTTGATTCCTGTGCGCGGCTTGTAGCATTACAATACACCTGGAGTGCACTGGTCAGAATGGCTCGATCTTTCGATATCGACAACTTACCCAGCAAGATCCGTCGCCAAATGATGCTGTAGGTTGTCCGTCACAGCAGTATGAAAGAAATGCCGGGGCGGGAAAAAGAGTGTTACGAGTGTAATTCTGGTGTAGTGATATACCGCAAGACATAGGGTGTGGGAGTGTCGGTAGAGAACCCTCCGTCCCCAGGCACGTGGCAGGGATTGTGTTGTTCATTGCTGCTTCTGCCTAAGGCGACTTGGAGATCTTTGAAGGAAGCGTGCGTGTCAAGGCGTTGTGTAGGCCGTTAAGACGGGCAGAAATGCAAGTGAATGGATGGACTTTTAATCCTTTTAGAGGAGTATGGCCCTGTCAAAGGCTGGTAAAGATCTAAGCGACCTACTTCATTGGGCCTCATTTAGCCGCCCAACTCTGTGCATGCTGGGATCGCCAATCTACTCCCGCGTTCCTTCGTACCTTATGCAAGGATTGCGATATTAAACCTTCTGCAACTAGACATAGACCTACAAGATCTATAGGTTTACGTAGATCTACAACGTGTGGCGCATGCGTGCGTGGATCTACTCCATAGGTACTGACGCATCGGCTGCTGAATTATTCGGATTTATTCCATATAAGACTCCCGGCCCCGACCAAATTCCAACAGTTGGAAAATGGAAATCCACTTCACCTTCTCATCACCGTCAGTCATAGGGTACTGTACCTTATCTTCTGTGACTATGTTACCGGCCGAGACATATGAATCTGACACCAACACTTTTTTCGACATCCTTCCTAATACACCCGGAAAAGTTTAGATCTTGGCTCCTGAGGATACTACGAGGATGCAATTACTCCAACATAACGTTGCTATGGACTTTCAAACTGGCAGAAGGATACAAAGGAGTACGTACTCGTTCGATTTCGAAGTGATTGTGCTTATCGCAACGCCGCACAGTTGTTCCGCTCAAACTTGACCCTGCTCATACTTGACCCTGCTTATACTTGATCCTGCTCAGGTAATATTGAGAAAACGGAAAAAAAGGGCAACATCAGCAAATAAATTAGCGTTATTGAACAGGTTGAAAAGTACCGAAGGCCAAATTTTCAGAAGCAGGGGTATTCTAGTATAGGTAGATAGAGAGAGGTATGGGGATATAAAGAGATGGGATATCCACATATCCAAAAAGGGCCATCTCTAATGGTAGTAGGATAAGGGGCCCGGGGTGTTTGTGGGGTAGTGCGAAAGTGTTAGTGCCACTACGGTATCAAGATTAGTACTATCCCATAGGATCCAGCGTGGTTAATTGACTAATAGTCCTTGGAAAACCTCGAAGTAGATTTTAAGAAGAGTAGCCAGGCTACCGTATTTATTATAATTATTTAGTTTTATTCTTAGAAAGCCATGCAAACGTTAACGCGTGATATCCTCTCGTGTTCATTCTTGCTCCCCTTCCCGACCTTCCTCTAGATCTTACCTACCTTACCTTCCATCATCAGCCCAGGACGCGAATCAGCGATGTTTTCCACGACACGTATCTGTACAGAATGTTGCCTATAGAGGTATTACAATATTAGTATAGATCACATCTCTCTAGGAACTTAAGGCTTACTAGGCACATAGCACATGCAGCATGATTTACCCATGTCCAGCCAGTACAGCCTGGGTTATGGGGGAAATTGGTCGCATAGCCGTGCCAACATCGGTATTTCACGTATCCTCTTGGTCCGGAAGAGTCAGACATTGCGGAGCTTTTTCTGTAGGTAGGATTGACTTTGGCTTTGTAGACAGTGTTGTAGTGCTGATTTATGGGGAGGAATTATTGTAAGTGATAGGTATTTTGCCTAAGAATTGTGTTGATAGAGAAAGAAGAAAGAAGGGAAAGGGAAAGAAGAGGCAGGGCAATTTATACCCCCCTAGGGTAGCGTAGAGCAGTGATTCCAAATGCCAATTTGATTAAGAACAGAAACAATGAGTTTTGTGAATCAATATTGTAGGCTGATTCACATTGAACTAGGGAATAGGTAGGTTTGATATCGAGGTAGGTGCTATATTAGGGTGGAGATAGCGAAATCCTCTCTTGAATGTGAATCCTGTTTGTGTTGACATAGTTTACTACAAGTAGAGTTCAGTACAGCTTAAAAACTTTGTAACACTCTGATCCGATCTGCAAATGACCTCTTTGCCACATCCGTATCTGTCGGCATCACTTCAAAAGCGTGAGGGCATCCCGGGTGCACATGCAGCTCGGTAGCGATCCCAACTTCAGACAGGCGCCGCGCATACTCAATATCCTCATTGAGGAATATATCCAGCTGTCCAACCTCAATATACGTTGGCGGAAGACCGGCCAAATCCACCATACGCGCAGGAGCAGCGTAGGGAGAGACTAAAACGGAGCCGGACCCAAAGAGAGCTCCCCAGCCTGTCTTATTGTCTTCGTAGGTCCATGTCGCAAACGGGACGATGTTAGGATCAGGAATGATGGTGCGGTCGTCGAGCATAGGGTAGATAAGTATCTGCTTGGCGATTGGGGGGTTGAAATGGCGATCGCGTGAAAGAAGGGCAACGCCAGCAGCTATGCCTCCTCCAGCACTGTCGCCCATAATGGCGATGCGGGCTGGGTCAACGTTCAGCTCAGATGCATGGTCGCGGAGCCATGTTAATCCACAGAATGCATCCTCAAGTGGGGTCGGGTGTAGATAGTCAGGGGCATAGCGATATTCGACGCTGAGGAATGGGACGCCCGAGGCGGAGACATAGCGAGCGACGATGTGCTCCCAGTGGGAAACGGAACCAAGGATCATGCCGCCGCCGTGAATGTAGACGACGGCTGGCGAATTGCTAGTACTGGGGTTGGCGCTTTTCTTGGTGTACCAGCGAAGGAGGAGGGGATGATTGTCGGCGGTTTGGGCATAGTAGTCCTGCATCACCACATCTTCAGGCACTGGATGACCGCTATTGAAAGCACCCAACATGTTATAGAAAGTGACACGTCGTGCGTCAATGTCCCCTATTGCTGGGGCTGGTATGTTGCCTTTGGCCTTTATTATAGGCGCGAGGATAGCCTCGATCTCGGGGTCGAGCTTGAACGGCATGTTATAAGTTGAAAGGTTTTGTGTTTCTGTAAAAGTTGTTCGAGGGGCCGCAACTTTGTTAGAATCAAGAGCACTTGCTAGCTTTATTGTTGCCCCCCCCGGATATACAAGTATATATATCTGCTGACCCTTCTACTCGGTAGGAGACCGGTTATCAGTCAAGCCGCGGCACAACCACAGCGTCCTAACTGTGCAGGTTATTTAGCTATGCTAGGTCTTACATGCCGTGAAATGCCATACGGATAACTTGGCCCGTACTACGGGAAGATGGCTTCACTTGTTGTCCTATGACCGACCTCTATCCCCTGTCTTTCGAGGACTAGGGTATTAGCCTTTGTCTAAGGGAGTAGCAGAGGGAGGGAGTTGTGCTGATGCCAGAGGTAGGTAAAGAGGCACAGACTTGGGAAACGACGCGGGTTTGGATAACCGCATGCTTGCGCAATTATTATTCTTGAATGAGAGCGATAACCATAAATACCGTGGGCATTACCACTGGTAGCCAAATCTTGCAAGCTGAAGATATAACGCAGCGGAACTATATGTCCACGAAGAGCATTCGACCCTAAGTTTGACCAAAAGGCGTCCAGAGTAGCATAACTGAACAATCAGGTGTGCCTGATAAGTAATCCCGTCAAGCTAAAAGTATATGTATCCGCCACCTATCTGCCAATAGGAAAGTGTGGAGGTAATACCCCGCATTGAACAAGCGCCTCCAGAACTCCACACTATTCGGGATATGCTATCGGTACCAGAAAGCTCTCCCTGTAATTGCACTAGTCCCTCAAAGGTAGATAGGAAAGGCTGAACTATCCCATGTTGTGTGTAAATACGCCTAAGAGATGCAAGGGTTGTAACTACTAAGAGATTCTTGGAAAAGCAAGAATGAAAACCGGCGCTAGCAATTCCACGGAAAAGCCCTGTATTTCATTAGTTCCCAGCTTCGGGGGAAAGGAACATACATGACGGTGCTTTTGTTTCAAATACTTCTCTCAATACTCTCCGTAGGTCTCTGTCGTTCCTTTGCTGCCCGAAGAATTCGAGGTCGAGGAGGAACCCCTCGTTACTTACAAGTCACGACGCTTTCAAGTACGGAGTGATCTACCCTGAGTTCGTGTCCCAAGTCGAAGTAAAATAGAGCGGTTATGTTGAGCGTCCTCTCGGGTCGAAGTGTTATTGCACTGTTTTAAAGGTACCTTAGGCCACGGCTTTCTCCAAGGTACCCCGCAATGGCTCGCTAGTCACCTGACACTAGAGCGGAGGGAAATTTTGTTGCACATCGCATTAGCGCTTGCCCTGTTAGTGTTGAACAACGTTGCTTTTGATGACAGCGAGATTAGCATTACCTGATCCCCGTCCTCCGAGAAAGATCCTGCTCTTTATCGACCTTGTGAAGTTAAAAAAGGGGGGAGAGTTCGCTTAATTAGCGCATGGCCACTGCTGAACCAGGTATACTATAATAAGTAGGCACCCCAAACAGGAGGAATTCCAACTTCAATTCCTACTAAGACGGCACATGCACGTCAACCTGGTCTATATAATGAGTTTTATTGTTTGAGATTCATGGAATTTATATTCTTCTATCGACGAGGTCGACCTCAGCAGCTGAGCTACTAGACACTGGGTGGAGGGCTGGGCTCTGGGCTAGGAATTGAGAAAAGGGGATGGGTTTGGAAGGGGCGACTGGACACTGTAAAATAAACCGGCAAGTAGAAGGGAGGTATGATCCGCATGGGCCTGGGAGCGATGCGCTCACAACGCGATCTCGTCGCCGTGATTGTTGCCGGGATGCTGATATTTTCCACCAGTGCTGCATTGGGATTAGGGATCGAGCTTCCAACAAGAAGCCTGGCTACTGGAAAGGGAATCGTTCGTTAGTAGCATCGGTTAGTAGATCAACACTTCGGCACAGAAATAGACAAAGAGAGGAGGTAGAAGCATGTCCTTTCGCTGGTATTATCCAGATCAAGTTCAACGGTGATTTCTCAGAACGAGTCATGCCGAAGCAATCCTCGAACACCCGTCATGCTCCATACCTATGACTTACGATCTCCATCTCTCCTTCCTCCAAATATCCAACACGAATCCAGTCCTTCTCGAGTACCCACAGGTCTATATCTCCGTATAGACCACCCACCCTCTTATCCAATCGAACGAGCGTCAAAATCGGCAAACTCATGGGAGTCTATGGACTACGCCGCTGAAGATGTAACGGGTAGACCAGTTTTCTCCGTATGAAGAACTGCCTCCCCAATCTCTTGTGAGGAGGCGTCGAGATCTCTCAGGTTGTGGAACCAATCACCCCTAGACTTTCTCCACCACTCTCCGAGAGCAATAATGGTAACACCAGCCATGATAACGATTGCGTAGTTCAGCAGGCCCGCATCCTGGTCGATAGCGCTGTCGCTATATTGTGGAGAGCAGAGAACGGCAAATGCAAAGCCGTTCCAGACAAAGGTAACAACAGCCATGATGACTCCGAATCGTCCGAGATCAAAGAAGCTCGGCTTGAAGGTCTTCCGGGTGATGAAGGCGCGCCCAAAACCTAGAAGTCCATACGCGGCAATGGAGCCTGCAGCCGACGTCGATGTCAAGCTGGAAAATGCGACCTGAGAAGGCAGCTGTGTGCAGAGAAGGAGAGCTGCAATGGTAGCAATGAAAATTACAGCGTTATGAGGCTGCTTGCTTTTTGAGACTCGGCAGAGCACGTCGCTGAATGGGAAGACAGCATCTCTTGCAATTGCGAAGACCAGTCTCGACACTGCAACCATAGAGACCGAAGTATTCAAAATGGCTCCTATCATCGAGACGATTGTGGCGACGACATGCGCATGTGGACCCAAGGCTAGAGCATACATGTTGATAAATGGCTGGGGCGCGCTGGTGTTGTAAAATGTGTCGATGGGCGGCATACAGAAGAGGAAGACTAGGATAATTGGGAAACCACAGATTGCTGAAACAACGGTAGCCCAGAAAACACCCTTTGCAGCAGCTTTCTTTGCGGACAAAGTCTCTTCAGCGACATGACCGGAAGCGTCCTCACCCACGAGACAACTGGCCACAAGGTACCAAGATAGGACCCAATTGAGCCCGGGACTGGTGTTCTCTCCGTTGTAGGTCGATGTAAAAACAAAATCAGCAGACTGGAAGCCGTAAGTGTTGTGGACTCCGATAGGCAGCCAAATAAAGTTGAGGAGAATATCAATCGCGATGACAATGACGCCAGCGCGGAAGACCCAGGCATAGGAGCGCGGTGGTAGGAAGTTCATCGAAGTTGCGACGCCGAGGAATAGCAACGAGAATGCCCATGCTACGGCTCGGGCTTTCACATCTGAAGTGTCATACGGGAAGGTCGTGTCCGGGTTGAAAACAACGACTTCAGAGACAAGATAATTGGCAACACCGAAAGAGTCGACAGCCAAGAACGCTGTCCAAGCCACCAACGTCCAAGCGGCTACCATGAAAGAGACGAAGCGTCCCAGCTTTCCGGCCCCCCACGACCGGAAGGCCCAGTAATAGATGGACCCGGCAGCTGGGTATGCGGAGCAAGCCTCTGCGAGCGTGGCAGCGGTAATGATTGACAAGATACTTCCGGAAACCCAAGAGCTCCACCTTTTGAAAAACTCGTCCGTCAGCAAGTGGTTGATTGAAAAGCCAATAGTCATTGCAGGAGATCTACATACATTGCAGCAGGCCCACCTGCGCTCAGCGCGATATAGAACGAGACCCTAATGCCACCAATACAATATAGGGCAGAGAAGGAGCAGGCAAAGTTGTCAAAGGATCCCCAGCCACGGGTAAGCACCGACTTGTAACCCAATTTCTGCAAATCTATATCATCTTGGTCAAAAGAAGTTACGGATTGCGGGGCGTGATCTTGCCCAAGCTTTTCGGGGAGAGCCGGGTCGTCTTGGCTGGAATCAGGGGCCATGGCGACAGCAACTCTTTCGTGAGCTGAGGTATATAGGCCGTCTTTTCCAGGTCGAATTGGAACAATCAATAGTGGAAAACCAAGTTATTTTCCTGAAAGATGATATCCCCAAAGAAAAAGGAACGATTGGCGGGGTGTGAAAATTTTGAGACTAAAGTAAGGTAAGGTAAGGTTCCGCCGATAAGCGGCGATTGTGTCGCACGTGGCTTTGCATACACGTGACCGTCTCAAGAACCATGTCTCCACACACTTCTGGCTAAATTTACATATTGATAGCTAAGAGCTAATCGCTAACGAAACAACGAAGCAGACAGTTATTACACTGACTACCTAATGGTCTGACGTCCGTTGTGGCATGTCTGAACCATAACCGTTTGACACAACCTGCTCCTAGGTGCGATCCAACAGAAAAGCATTGAGGCATTATACAAGATGAGGTTATCAAACTTCTGACCTCGATCCTTATAAAAGTCTACAACATGTTAACTGGGGTTTGGATCCTTATTCCCCACATTGAGTGCATTCGCCTCTGCAGCAGTCCTTCAGGGTTGATCAAGACAAAGGCTCCCATTAACTCCATGCTGATTAGACAAATAATTTGATGGCCCAATATCTATAACTAGGTATACAGTCTGCAATTTTAACCACTTCGCCAGTCTTCGTTGATTATAGCGCAAATGCCTTTTCTGTCGTGGAAGGCACGAAACTCCCCTTCTCCGCCACCGAGTTGGCATCCGTCGAACCCTCTGACCCATGCTCGATTGCCGGTTGGTTGAAAAGAGCGTCATGACTTAAATGCGTGCCATGAGTAGTTTCATTGACCTTATTAAAAGTCACCCAGGCTAACCCGGGAAGAGAGACAAAGAAGAGAGCCAGATTGATCGCACAAGCTCCATTGTAATCGAAGTTCTCTGCCGAGACGACGAAACCAAATGTTGATCCGACGGATCCGATACTGTTGATGATGCCAGCTAGGAAGGAAGTCTCGTTTAGGTCGTTGGAAAAGCTTCCTATCAACCAAAACATATATGTAGTGACGCTATATCTTCAGTCAGTAATAAAACCCCGCGTTAGATGCTTAGTGGACGATAACTCACAGCGGATCAGAGAACCCCCAAAGTGAGAAGACGAATGCACCAAGGCCGTAAGAATGATCCGACCAATCAATTGACGGATGTACTTTCTCATAATGAGCCTGGACAGCTTGACCGAGTATCCAGGAGCCGCCAGTGAAAAACGTAACTATTACAAGGCCGATCTTGGCACGGGTTGGTCGACTCCAGCGAGTACTATCTAGCAATTGACCCATTCCGAGAGCGCTAAACAGTCCGAGAAGATAGAAGAGAAGGGAGTTCAGGGCTCGTGCCCGCACCGTAAAGTATGCAAAATTGAACTGCCACTGGTAAGACAAGAACCACTGGGCGTAGATAATAAGAGGGAGCAGGGCCAAGATGGCGGGCTTCTTAAAAATCTCCTTTAGGACGTTGAACTCTTTGGCCAACGAAGGCTGTTGTTGCAGGACCACTTTCCGTCCATCGGTTCGTTGGACATTTTTGGCCGACGGGAGTATCAGAGCAAATGGAAAGCCTAAGCTCATAATCGTCATGATGACAATGTACGTGGGCCTGCTCACTCCACCGCGATAATTTCTCTGCGCGTTGAGCCCCAAACTGATCATCCCGCCAACGGAGCCTCCAAGAGCTTGAAGAGCGAACTTGATGGACACTAGTGCAGATATTATTATGGCGACTCATGTCAAGGAAGTCCCAATTTGAACTTACTGGCCGTCCCCTTTCTGTTCTCTTCAGAGTACCCCAAGAGAATAGCTCCAGATGATACCCATAGGAAGCAAGCGGAGATGCCCAAAATAACGGAACCGAGGAGCAAAAGCCAGGTAGACCCAAACCGATCAACAACATACAGTCCAGCAGCATAAGGGGTATAGCCGAGGGTACCAATCTATACAAATTCAGATGTCTACTCGGGGGGCGCGCTGCGGTATAACTCACCAAGAGCGTATACTTGGGCGTGAGACGGTTAGAAAAGCCCCCGGCAAAGATACTTCCCACCGCAAGGACTCCGAAAACAATTGCATTTGCCGCGTTTGAAGTTCCCGGACTCACACCACCTCCTGCTCCCATGCCATTCAAAGCGCTGAACATTCCCGGGCACGTGAAGGCAGTCATAGCTACACAGAAAGCAGAAAAGATCGACGAGCGGTACCAGCGCACATGGTGCTTTTCCTCCTGGGCCGACATATCGCTAAGATTGGGGTAGGACTGGAGAGGAGGAGGGCGGACGGTAGACAGAGTAGAAGCGTGGAACTTGTCAACGATAGCCAGATAGGTATGAGAAGGGCCCTCTGGATGAATCAGTTTTATATCTATAGAAGGACATGGTATGGATTTAGTTACTTAGTTCTTGGCTTGTCTAGATCTCGCCCCATTGCCTAAAATGCGGAGAGACAGGAAATGACGAGAAAGACGAGAAGTCTGACGTGACAATCAGTGCTTTGTAGAGATCAAGCCGGAGGTCAAGCCGAAAGAGCGATATCCTCCAGTATCAAATTGTCAATAGCGGGGGGTCCGGCGAGGATCAGAGTGGGATTCCTGCCATGTGCGCTGCCGAGCAGAAGATTCTAACCCGTGTGATAGACTGATAGTAGTGCCGCTATCACCGCCCTCCGTTCGCATTGTGCACGCTTCTCGGGACTGCTCCGTGTGCAGCCAGTCAGAAGAGCCGGAGCCGCATGTGTCAGCAGCGGGTTTGTTGTTTGACAGCGGTTCCATATCTGTGATATCCCAAAAGAGACATTGCTGGAGTTGCGGATGGAACCGACTGGCGTTGTGGACGAAGACCGACTGGTCGCTGCGGCCGCCTTGCAATTGCTGCAGTGTGGGTCTGGATGGCGTGCGAGAGACCTCGTCAAAATCCTCGTCAAAATCATGGTGTTGTCCCTAAAACAGACCTCTCGCTTCGAAGACCACGGCAAGCCCGACTACGGTCCAGCCCCAGCTCAAGGTGGCGGCTACTGGCACTCGAACTGTAGACGCCAGTATGAACATCCGACTTTACCATGTTATCCTAAAACGCCTAGGGGCTCAAGGTCTCATTCAGAATCTCTTTCACGATGGGTGACCGGAGGCCATTGCGAATAGGGTGAGTGCTCTAGAATCCGAGCACTGGGAAACCTGCGCTCATATATATCAAAATATCAGGATCATTGGAGCGGGACTCGTTGGTGCTACAGCCGCCATTGCCTTGTCCCGATTAGAGAATGTTGTCGTGAAAGCGTTTGAGCGTTCGCCAGGGCCGCGCGAGGAGGGTGCTTGGATCTCCTTCAACGTCTCTGGTAAGTATGGCGTTCGTCCTGCCAGGCCATATCTGATCCCGTAGGTCTCTCCATCCTGGATAGGCTCATTGATCTGGACCAAATCCAGCAGATCTTATACCGCGGAGACTCGAATGGAGCCTACGTGAGCAGACATTGGAGGACCGGAGAGATACTTGCGCTGGCTCACTCCTCTCGTCATGTGGCCGAGAAGTTTACCCAGGCGCGCACGCATCGCGTTCCTGTATTAAATGTGCTCTTATCAAATGTCCCAGCGGGAACCATTCAGTATGGTCGTTCTGTGCTTGGAACTGAAGTCACGGAAGATGGAGTGCGGGTGAATTTTAAGGACTCGGAACCAGAAACTTTCGACCTGGTTGTAGCAGCCGACGGCATCTACTCTGTAAGTGTGACCCTTTGCAAGGTGTATCGGAAATTCACAGTTTTCAGAAAATCAGACAGCAGTACCTCTCGGCGAAAGTTGAATTTAGAGGCGCTGTTGCTTACCGCAAGATCTTTCCTGAAAGTCAGGTCAGTCATATCCGCGGCCTTCCAAATGACACGTCGGTGTGGCGGGGCAATGGCGGGTTCATGTTTCTATCACGACTTGGTAAGCCAATCCAACATCTAGAATTAGTATTCGGTGATGTTAATCAGGAGAATATGAAGGGTTGGGCATGTATGGCGTTGTGGCCATAGTACCGGAAAGCCCCGAATTTGCAGCCACACTAAAATGGGCACGAAGTGTTGGGTCTGAAGGACTACAAAGACTCCGACAACGTTTTTCGGTGATTCTTGCCCTTCCCTATAAAACTTTTAAGAGACTCACTAACGGATTTGACCAGAATTGGGACCCGATAATTGACCAAGTACTCCAAACAATGACAGATATAGATGCATATCCCCTTGATTCGGGGCCATGGATGAAAGAGCTCGTGCGAGATGATCGCATAGCCTTTGTTGGAGATGCTGCGCATCGTGAGTTTTAGAATGGAATTTGCCATGATTGTAGAAAGACGCTGCTAACACAAATCAGCTACTGCTGGTGCTTATGGAGCTGGCTCTGCAATGGGTTACGCTGATTGCTGGGCGCTTTTCCGCTCTTTAGAGCAGTCATACAAGCGGCCCAAACCAAACGCCCCATCGATAGTAGAGAGTCCTGTTCCGCCTCATCTCTACGACCTACCCCGTGCGCTTAGACTGTATAACGAAACACGGCGCCACTTCTTGGGTCGTGTAGAGCTTCAAATGGCACTCGACCGAAATGAGAGTGCGTACCTGGCTGAAGCAGAGGATGAAGAAGAATGGATTAGGAGATTCAAAGAGCGTCATTCGAATCAGATTTGGCTAACTGAACATGACGTTGAAGCGGAGTTCCAGAAAACGTTGGCCGGGGAGGCTCATTGGCTTTCTCAAGTTGAAGCAGCTAAAGGAGTGAAAGCGCACTTATAATAGATGTTGAAGATTGATTGATATAACATTGACACATGGACAGGGTCTAGAGGGGACATGGATAGATTGCTTCCAGTAGCAGAACCATAGCGTGTTGGCTCACTCTGCGTAGGATGTATACATTATCCTAGATGTGATCATCCTATGGAGTACAATTCATTGTCCTACTAATGGTGATAATGATGAATCGCAAATTCGGGATGGAGCATGGCGTTTGATTGCTAGGTTACTGCGGCATGCGAAGTTGCCCTGATATCCACTCGGACTTCGCTTCCAGTTGAGTCCATAGACGATCTAGTCCTTGCTCTAATATCTCAGTCGCTTCTCGATCATGCAAACCAGGAGAGCAGCCCTTTCTTAGGGCATTTTGAACCAGCCGAATCGCCATTAATAGCCTTGCACAGGTTTCAGCTGTTTAATAAGGGCGACCGAGAAACGGGCGGACTTACCTATGTCCCATAATAACATCTACTTCGTGTTCTTCCGAGAGAAAGACCCTAATCATAGAGAAGCCGGCCAGTAGACCATCTTGGAATAAGGTCCATACGGGCAGTGGGAATTGACGTTTGGTATCGTCAAGTATGTGAAGGACCAGTGGCCGGAAGAGGGAAAACAGCGTAAACCAGTATGTCAATTTCAACCGTGTCCCCACTTGTGATGCGCTCCCTCTGCCAGGCTCCGGAGACCATTCCAGAAACGTTGGCAGGGTTTCTATCCATAGGCCCAGTTGATTTTTCAACTCCTGGATAACAAGCGAGACTTCAAACCCATTGCCTGGAGTTTCGTGCAGACAGAATTCAAGGCTGGGTGTCCCCATGATCCTAGCCAGGATGGCTTTGAGTGACATTTCAGCTAGGAAGAAGGTGTAGATTGTGCGCGTGTGTTTCGGTAAGTGAGCAGTATTAGGTTCGTCACACCCTAACGGCAACGGAAGACTATGTTCCAATTGTGGGAGCTGGCTTTTAGGCAAAGTGTTTATCTCCAGAGTCAAATCTCTTCGAAATATCAGCTCTGCATTGAAGTAGGCGCTTTCTGGCACAATACCTTTCAAGATTCAAGCAAATCCAGTACAGCCGGAGGATCGTCTTACTTTCCTCCTCACTCCTGTTAACCTTCAAAGACTTATCCCTGTTGATAGCGGTGAGCTGATGTATAATTGCCGCGCTTGCAAAGCCCGTACCGTTGGATCATCATATAGAGGGTAGCACAACCAGCGTAGAGGTACGACCAGAATGCTAGGATCCGGCCTTTCTTGAGCATGAAGATGGCCGCCAGGACTTGGGCCTGTGCAAACTCAAGGGTAAATTCTACCGTCAACTTTGAAAGCAGCTGAACTGCTTTCTGAAAATGCGGCAGCCCTCGCTCGATCGAGGCACGTTCATCGTATGACTGCGCCAGTGCAATAACCAAAAGGGTAAGACACGTTTCTATATCATCTGGTAATCCTCCCTTTGCTGCTGATGATGCTATGTCAAACATGACTTGGTCGCAAATGATTGGATATAAAGGGCAGACTCTCTCGAAGAATAGCATCACTAAAGGCATGATATTTTTTAGCTCGGGCAACTTGTACTGAGCGAGCATATCGGGAAAGGGAGGACGACGCTCTTCCTTGGCAATGAGAGTATCAGGAATGTATCGCGATCTCTTCTTGCTTTCGTCGGGGACATGTGATCTGTTGTCGAAAGTTGCAGGGATGCTTCTCAAGGGATAGCTGGCTGGCGTATAGTGTGGGAGTGTGGGACTATCTAACACAGATACCGTATCATCTTGACTTGCAGGTGTGAGGAGGCTCGATATTGGTAGAACCATGGAGGGTGATACGGCACTGGGCGTGGGGTCGCCATTATTCCCAAGTTGATTGGCGTTTGCCTGGCGTCCATCCGAAGAGGAACTGGGGAGAGTCGACAGAACATCCAACTTCTCTTCGAGTTGTGCTATGCGTTGAAGTAAGAAAGATACCGAAGGGTCACGACTGTTTACCAGGTTAGTTGAAGTTCACTCTGGTTCTCAGACAATGAAGACATTTGCTCACGTGGGACCGCTACTCTGCCGATAATCACAGCGAAAGCCATGGCGCTGGCAGAAGCTACAGGCCGGCTGCCCTTCATTGCATTTCACTTTCTTCAGACGGCACGTCTCACATGCCTGGGAATAGAGAGTCAGTCATCCGAGTTGGAAGATGCAGGATTTCTGAACTGGGAATCTGGGGATGGTAGCCGTACCGTTGAAGCACGATGAGGATCTCGACGAACGCCCCGGAGAAGGGGCAAAGGTTTCTTCGGGGATGGGCATGGCGCGGGAGGACATTGATCTGAAGGCGATGATGACGGTGGGTGGTCTATTGACAGGACGGACGTTGTGCTTTTGCGGCGCTTTCGTGGAGGGCCGTCGTAGGACAGCATATCTTGTAGCTCTCCGGGATATACTTCTGGGGGTCTCTCTCTCTCCCATTGAATTCATCCGTCGTTGAATCCTTCTTGGTCTCTTCTAAGGATATGATGCTCATTGATCCATGCTGCCCCTCGATGAGGAGGTTCGAATCACGTGCATCCGAGCCACAGCGGGATCCCCAGCCGCAAGTGGCGTCAGCAGTGGGCGTAAAGTCGCCATCACGGGGGCTCCACCGCCAAGCAGACGATGTCTCCGCTGGGAAGAAGATGAAATGGGAATCATGGGAGATTCGGATATTGATTCGGATATTCGATTGAAGACCGCACGTAGGCCTTTGCTTTGATTGGCCAGACACGGATTAGTTTCCGGATGGCCAGGATATCAATTGATCCTCTATAGTGATTCAAAACATCTGCCCCCATGTTGGTTGCCGGCCAGGATTTGTTTCTTCGTGATAACGCGATTCACCATCATCACAGGTGGGTCTGGTGGGCTGAGGCAAGGCTCTCTTCTCTCCCTCTTCACGCGTCCTTATATTCATTCTTCTTTCTTTTCGTCTTGTATATGCTTTTCTTTTCTTGCGTTGTCACTCCAGTTGCTTTCCGGCACAGGCTCTTCTTTTCTTTCTGATCCCCCTGTCAATCTCCCCACCCCTACACAACATGCCGTCTCAAAACCTCAGAGAGTCAAGATTGAAAGTCGCCATTATCGGGGCCGGCCCAGCGGGATTGGGAGCGGCCATTGAATTCAACAAGTTGCCGTTCGTGGATTGGACAGTCTATGAAAAAGCAAGCGCTGTCCGTGAAATTGGAGCCGGACTCAGCATTCAATCCAACACCTGGCGCTTGCTCGAGTCGATGGGCGCGGCCAAGAACCTGAAGCCCAAGGACTTTTTCCGACCTGCTGATAATCATTCTGTACAACATCGGTACGTCTACAGAAATCAAGAAAGCTTTAGCGGCACACACTGAAGCCGTGTGAGAAATGGACGGACAGGAGAGTTACTTGTTTCGCATGGCCAGCCAGGTGAGTGGCACCGAGAAGAACAAACCCTGAAGGGAAGCCTTGCAGCTAATCTCTCCAGCAGGCACCCCTGAAAGCCAATTGCATGCGCGGGCGCACCGTGCGAAGCTACAGAATGCGCTTTTGAAAGAAGTCGATACCAAACATATCTCTCTCTCGAAGCGGCTCATAAAGGTCACCCGGCAGGCCTCGGGAAGACAACTTATTGAATTCCAGGACGGGTTTAAAGATGAGGTGGATCTAGTTGTAGGCGCAGATGGAGTTCGATCAGTCAGTCAAGGTCTTTATGCTCACAATTGGATGTTTGGTAACCTTTAATCGCAATGCCAGGTCGTACGGAGTTTTGCATTTCCAGATCATCGGGTTTCCTATACGGGTAGAACATCATACCGGACACTTATCACCTCAGAGGAGGTAGCTCGCGTCCCAGATGTGCCCAATGCTGTCACATTTTGGCAGGGGCCCAGTCAGTGGCTTTACACATGTCCTCTCGGTGATGGCTTGTTCGAGATCACAACCATGGTTAATGAGCCTAACGAAGGGGGCGAGAAGGAGAAAGTGAGTTGGGGTCAAGATGCTACAGTTGAACAGATGACTCGACATTTTAAGGTATGTGCTTAGCCAAACAGTCGGTTTCCGTGCCTACCATATTCACAGAGTTGGATTAGGATTTTGCACCAATCACAAAAGATATTTTAGCTCTTTCGAAAGACGTCAAACAGTACGCTCTTTTCGCCGGACCTAGATTAGAAAGCGTCGTTGCCAATGGCTCTGTGGCATTGGTCGGAGATGCTTCACATCGTAAGTCCCGTAAAATCCTCGTATATTTTTGTTACGTGTGCTAATTGATGTTCTTCAGCTCTTTCTGGGGCCTTTGGTGAGTATGAGGTTCTTCTGTCCTCAAAAATAGCTGACGAGAGACATTAGGCAACGGTGCAGGCTTCGCCCTGGAAGATGTATATGCGCTTGCCGCATCCATTTCGTGGGCATATGAGCGTGACCTCAACTTATCGGAGGGACTGAATCTATTCGATCAAGTGCGTTCGCCGCACTACGCGAAGCTTGTGGGTTCCATTTCCTCTAGTCCCTTTAACTCGATCTCTCAATGAGCTGACAACATCATAACAGTATGGAATCTTAGACGAGTTTGGAAAGACGGATGCATATGTACGGGCATCCAATTTTGATTTTGATGGAGCTGTAAAGGTCTTGATCGAACAGACCTGGAGCCAGAGACATCACTGGTTATATGACTATGATGCGAGTCCCCTCTGTATTCATCAAAAACTTTTCGGGGTATTGCTAACCCGACGAGCACCAGGTCCGGCAGGGTATCGCAGACGCAATCAAAGCCGCCGACGCCCAGTCTCCTCCAAGCAGACTTTCCAGCAGACTCTGAAGAAGCTGATACATAGATTTGCTGCTACGCCGCCTGTGGCAGTATCCATATGTACATCTATATATATACCACCTTTTCTCAATGTGAACTTCAAACTCTACCTGGTGCTCCAGCCAATGGATCTACAAACGTGCCTGGACCCCGATAGCATTGAACTGGCGTTCTATAGCCCTAATCCTAGCTTCCGTTCCTCTCTGTCCCCCTTATCATCCTAATAGGCTCTATTAGATTAACAGGTTATATTTGCCTATGTACTTAAGAGGATATGTAACCGTAACGACGGATTTAGAAGGCTGAGCTTGGTAGCTAACGTGTAAGGTAACGTTCAACTACCTAGGGAACAAAAACGCTCAGGGCTAGCGTCTATATAATGTATTGATGTCTTCAGCCAACAAACTCCGTAGTAAACCGGGAACTATGAGCAGACCTATATATTCTAACCCAGATTATAGACGATCTTATCTAGTAGGGAAATAAGATCTCTTTAGTCTTGCAATTAATTGTACGACAGGCCTCGACAGCTTCAACAAACGTCCTAAACTCGCCTCTAATTCTCCTATCTTTGATCATTGTCGACAATTCGTAACGATAAAACTCGCTTGACTTCTGGACCTTATAATTAACTCATGCAGCCTTTTATATGATGCAGATACATTACCTCTCGAATATCGAGTGTCCTCTAAACGACCCTCTAATGCCATATTTAACAGGCCTTTTTGTTCTAAGAAATTCCAAATTCCACTATGTCTTCAAGATAATGAATTCACGGATGATTGATTGAGCTGACCAGGGGTAATCCTGAGCAAAATTCAACACCTGCAACTTTAAACTCTAAGGGTCAGGTAGTAAAATTAATAATTAGCATCAAAGCTACACTGTTTTATCCTTCTTATTCCAGACTATCATCAGCATCAGGTCTCAAGTCGGTCATGGGATCGTCATCATCTGAGCGATGCACATTTGGGTAAAACTTGAAAGGTGTTCCCCGCTCATTCTGAACAGCTAAAGGTCTTAACGGCGTGGTTGTCGGACTAGATTCAATGGCTATTCGAATGATAAATCGGATACGTGAAACTATCTCCTTTCCTTCAAAGTCCCACCGTAATGGGATGGCCCTTAAAACCTAGGGTAATGTTATTAGATATATTTTGCACTTTTAGAAACGCTTCAAAGACTTACTCTTGACTCATTGTCAATGTGAAGGAAGCGGAATTCCAGCCCATCCGAACAAATACCATAGACGGATGAATTTGCTTTACCCATGGTTTTCCTGGAGCGATGAACAACTCCTAATTATTCGTATGTTAGAACATGGTCTTACAGTGCAAAGTCTAACAACTTACCCATATATGACAAACATTGGACCTCCCCTAGTTGTGCAGTATACTCCTTTTTGGCTTCCATGACTACCAGATTCAATCCCATTTCAGACGCGCTCTCGTACCATAAGCTATAGTCAGCAATACCTGAATATAATCTCTTCTCACCATTAAACTCGACTGGATAGGTAAGTTTGCTTTCGAATTGTAATTGCACTGGAGCTGGAGGAACTGGAGCAGGTGTTGATGGTCTATTATCACCCGTATTCGCCGCTTGAGAAGTTACTTGGTCGACGAGTCTTTTCTCCGCCGCGATACATGATATGAGTATCAAATTCACTTTTGTTCTCGTGAGGGCCTCATTTGGGGGAGATCCTTTTGTAACATATTGGATGTCTTCTAATACACGCACTATCTAGTGTCAATAAAATAGACCTAGAGAATTGCTGTGAGTGTCAAAACTTACGTAATGCATCTGGGACAGGATACAGATGATCTAAATCAATGTTCCAACGGTGCTTCGCTTCCTCTAGCTTGAAGAGTGATAAAACATCCTGTGAGGTCAATGAACCAGCAGATAGTGTTGGACCGTTTGGACCGTGATTTTCGAATTCATCAAGCGCGTTATTAACCTCTGCTTCATCAAGCTTAGGAGATTTCGACTCTTTCGAGATAAATATTTGACTGAGCCGACACCTGAGAGAGCAGAACTTGGACCCGGTTGGCATATTGTTCGGCTGCAATACACTGATGAACTATTATAAGACTTATAACAATTAGCAAAGTAATAATACGCATGAGGTAGAGAAGAGACGGTTCAATGCTTTGAAAAAGTTTAGGGCATCAGAGTATTTCGAAACAGACTAATAAGCGCAACCAGATAATACTTTGTTCGTTGACGTACCTTACCTAGGTACTTGTCGCATAGAAGTCAGGTGAAATTCAGGTCACATGATAACCTCGGTCAAGGGGTCCCACTTCTGTATATATAGGTAGCCTCTCTAGACCTACCTGGTAACCTACCTTCACTCTTTAATCGAGCCTGTTTCTCCTGTTCGACAGGTACCCGTTCACTTCGCTCGCGTTAAGGTAGGTAAAACAATGCTTAGCCACGTGACCTAAAATACTTGATTAGTAAGCCATTCTTCTAGTCACCAAGGTACCTTACCTCCTTAATAGCTACCCTAAAGCTGGTAAAGCAGCTCTGCTCACTTTTTCGAACAAAAACAGATTTTATTCGTGTCAGGATTGGCGTGTGATAATCACCTGTTGTAGACAGGAATTCCCGAGCTTTGATAGCTAAGTAGCTCTGCAACATGTTCTGACAAGCCTCTAAACGGATCCCAAGATAGTTCTTCCTCCTCCGCCGCCGGTAATATCTACTTATCCATCCCTCTTTATATTGCCGGTCTCTAATCCAATCTCCGTGCCTCGCGTCCAGAACTTTTCCATGAATCGAAGTTTGATCTTTCTGAATGGGTTTGCACGAGCTTCAAAGACCAGAGGATAGAGAAACAGTAGGTAAAGGATAATAAAAAACGAACACCTTGCATCCCTTAAAAGGGAGATATAATATTCAACTATGTTTTCTTGAACGCATCTCTTAGCTCATTGGTATCAACGCTATACCAGGTACTAACACCATGATGCTTTCCCGTCCCGAAACTCCTCAACACCCATACACACATATCATTATCCTATGGCCGCTAACACACACCTACAAGACCAAATACCAAGCCCTCAGCCCTGTACCGGGCGCCGGAAAGGATGAGCTTCCGTATTGAGAACCCAGTCGTCGAGGCTGATAACGTCGGGGGTACTAAAGATGAGATAGAAATACTTGAGCGTCTCGGCGGTCCAGAAACTCTCCATGCTGTCGCTCTTGGGACTGGGGATCTTGGTCACGTCGTCGAGGGCTGCGCTGCCGTACTGGGTGCGCGTGCGGCCTTCGATGGCTTCAAACATGGCCCAGGCGGAAGCTCGCAGTGCGGGGTCCCCAGTTATGCGGTAGAGAATGAAGACGGATTCGATTGCTTCGGGTCTACATGCGTTGTTAGAAGAAACGTGAAGAAGAATGGAGTAGATAGGGCGAGGGTACAGTACCGGAGGACGTAGCGCGTGTCGGGGATATCTGTGAATCCGGGGAAACCGGGGACACTGTTGGCTTGCTATGAGATAATTAGACGATATATAGATCATGAAGGGTATTGGAAATATACCTCCGCATCCCACAAACAGTCTGTGGCGTTGGCGCACGGGAAAACGTAGAACCTTTCGGGCATGATTCCAGTCGGCATGGCGCGATATGCCCATATACAACCTTCTGTCAGTTTTCGGGCAATTGGAAGGTCATCAGGTCGGTTGAAGACTCTGGAACCCAAGCCCACCATGCCTCCAGCAAAGCAGGCGAGGTGCTGCCCTTGTGGATCGAGCATCAAGCGATCTGGAACCTCAGGGTCCACATGAATGTTCCCGGACATGAGGATATCTGCGTTCTCCTGGGTCATTGGACGGAAGAACAAGTATTCCTTTGCGGTGTCTATAGAATATTCGTAAAGCTGTTTGTACTGCTGAGCCAAGCCATTCAGTAGCATGTATTCCTGGTCCAGATTAGAATTGTTCATTAAAGGAGGGACTTTCGAACCTTGGGCAGATATTCATAAACCGAATCGGCCATAGCCCCGAGAGTGAAAGAAGTGTCGCCTCCAAAATCTTCCTCCTTGGGATCTAGAACGATAGGCCACATGCCAGGCAGTTTCGTTAGACCCTGAGCCCGCTCGAGGCGATCCGTAATACGCTGGATTGCGTCGAAGAATTTCATATCGCCTGTAATCTGGGACAATCTGGTAAATTCAAGGGACAGAGATCCTGTCTCAGCAACAAGAGTATTCCCGCTGTCCTGCACCTCCCCATTTCTCGCCCTGTAGGTACGTTAGCAGAGTCTCTCGCTATCGTCACAAAAGGAATGATACAATTCAAAAAGCAAGTATACCTCTGCCATTTCCACCTTGTAATCGGCATTCTATCCGGCGTATCAAACGCCGCATATAGCAGATTCCCCAACTCAACCGCCTTCTCCAACAGAACCGGATACTGCTTCTCACTCAAGTCATACGCGCTCAGCAGGCCCCCGAGATACCGAATGGTCGTCTCGAAAACATTCAACTCTTCATCTTCAGACTTGGTAAAATCAATCTCCGCTAAAGTTGCAACCGCCTGCGCGAAATCCGTCTTCATATCCATGATCCATAACGTGTCGAGCGAATCGATCAACGTCGCGGCCCAGCCACCAAAGCGGTTCAGCGAGCCTCCCGAGAGCGGCAGAAGTTCATCTTTCAGCCATGCGTGGTTTTTATATCCCTCCCAGGCCCGCGCGAAGCTCTTCCTGATGCCATTGCGCTTGGCCAGTCGGTCTCTGGCCTCGTCCGCCGTCTCGGGGGGGAACTCGTACTGGATCTTCGGGATTGGGGTGGGAGACCCGGTCGGAAAGGGTCGGAAGGATGGCACGGGGAAGTTCTCCTGACGGGATGCCCATTGGAAGTGGCTGTCGGGATGCGCTTTTGGTTTCGTGAATTCGTCGTCGAAGGGACGCGTGAGGGGGATCGCGACGGGCCGCGGGACGTGGGCGGGGTTGAAGTAAAAGAAGAAGACGAAGACGATAGTGGCAGCGGCGCAGATGGGCCACAATCGGCGTATCATTATCATGTTGGGTTTATGGAGAGGAAGACATTCCTGGGGAGGAAAGGAGGTGAGATTTGGTGAAGGCGTTGACGGTGGTCCAGGGATTAGAGTTGGAGTTGGAGTTGGGCGCTCAGGGATAACGATAGGGATAAATATGCTGCAGGGGTATCAATTGGACTTGTTGTCTCCAATTTGCTGCTTTGACAACAGGAGATGTTTGAGTCTGCAAGTTGAAAGATGAAATCCTTGAAGTTAGTTGAATAATCGGCACATGAAAAAGCCTTAAGGTACCTTCAAGGTAGTCAAGTCCCCGGGAAGCGCTACAGTATAATACCTAATGCCCAGCTTTGCTCACCTTGAACAGTCATGGCAATAGGACGTTTTATTGCTAAGGTATAATACTAGAGGTATAAACCGTAATAATTCAAATAATTAATTATCTTACCCCATAGCAAAGCAGAGTTTGCACATTACAAGAGAGTTCCCCCTGTTTTTCCCCCTATTTACCCCACACCCCGCATTTTTGCCTCGGCTGGCATCAACATCAGGAATCCAGTATCTAGCTCTCTCAACACCGCATTCCCATTTCCTTTTTCATTTTCTTTACTTACGTGAAGACTTTCTCCCTCCGAACCAGTTTGATATAATATACCTCCAGAATTATATTGTCTCTTCTTACCTAGGTACCTGCCTACCCACATATCCATGAGACTTCCACGTGATATCAGCCATCCACCATGTCTTCCACCTGCTCAAAAGCTCCCACGAAAGAGCGCGTACCTTCCAGTGCCTCCACTGGCACATTCATGCCCAACCCCGAATTAAAGAATCAATACCAAGCCGATGTATCACTAAAGCGGGTCATTGACCGTACGTCCCAACCTCCGTTCTTTCTTTCATTCATTCAGCACACTCACCGAACCAACCCCGCCTTTCTCTAACACATATACAGTATTCCTACCGCCGACCATCATCAACGAGACGCAAAACGAGCTGGACAGGTTCGGGAGGGAGGTTCTAGGGGCTGAGGTGTTTCGATGGGTGAGCGATGCGGAGAGGAACGTGCCGTTTGTGAGAGGTAGGGTTCGGTCTCGAACGCGAGTTTCTCCTTTTGAGAGAGCGGGTTCTGATCAAGTTATAGGATCGGGGAGGGATGCTTTTGGGAGGAGGACGGATGAGCTCGTTACTAGTGAGGGATGGAGAAATCTGCAGAAAATGGGGTTGAAGGAAGGGTATGTCTCATCCCATCCTGTCTTACGCGGGAGAATGAATGGCTTGCTGATATAGGAGCAGGATTGTTGCTATTGCGTATGAAAATAAGTATGCGGAATACTCTCGAGTCGTTCAGTTTGTGAAGTAAGTGAGCGAAATCCCAGTAGGATCTCAGGGCTAAGTATCTGGAGGTATCATCTTTGGACTGGTTCCTGTGCCACGGTTACATGTCCGAGTGCGATGCAAGACGGAGCTGCTTCGCTTCTACGCCGGCACCTCTCTGTACCCGAACACAGTTCCTCCCTTACTCCAGTAGCCCGTTCAGTACTTAAAGAAGCCCTCGGCCGCCTCACATCTCGCGACGACGATGCCTGGACGTCCGGGCAATGGATGACAGAACGAATCGGGGGATCGGACGTGTCCGGGACCGAAACGCTGGCCACGTTCTCGCCAGCCAGACCCGATGGCTCCTTCGAAGCAACGCAGCTAGACGGGTCTCCACTCGGGCCGTGGGTCATTGATGGGTTCAAGTGGTTCTCTTCAGCCACCGATTCCCAGATGACCATCGCAATGGCCCAAACCCCCAAAGGCCTCTCCGCGTTCTACATCCCCATGCGCCGCACTACGCCTTCAGGAGGATCCGAACTAAACGGGATCAGCATCTCACGGTTGAAGAACAAACTAGGCACCAAAGCCGTGCCGACCGCTGAGCTCGAGCTCAAAGGTGCAAGAGCATATCTGCTCGGCGAAGAAGGAAACGGGATTCGTGAAATCAGCACCTTGCTTAACATCACGCGCGTTCATAACTCCGTCACATCGGTGGGCTTGCTAGGGAGAGGATTGGCCATTGCTAAAGCTTTTGCGAGCGTGAGGGAGATGGTGGGCAAGGGGAATAAAAGGACGCTTAAGAATATCCCGCTGCATATGCGCACCTTGGCTGATATCACAGTTGAGTACCGGACTCAGATGCTGTTTACATACTTTACGGTTTATTGTCTGGGGGTATCAGATCAGGGGCGAGCAGCGACCACTTCACAAGCCACCACTGCGTCAGAACGACTACGTCCTCAGACCGCTGAAGACCTGCAGCTTCTCTTGCGGTACACCCCCATATCTCTTATCACAAATTCTGCAAATTAAAACAATCGAATAGAAACACACACTAACAAACATCCCAGGATCCTCACCCCAGTCCTAAAAGCCCTAACCGCGAAAGCGGCCATCAATGGTCTGCAGGAATGCATCGAATCCCTCGGCGGGGTCGGGTACCTCGAGAATGAGGAATCGCAACACATCAACGTGGCGCGTCTCTACCGCGACGCCAACGTTCTCAGCATCTGGGAAGGAACGACGAACGTTCTCGGCACGGATTTCGTAAAGATTCTCAAGAGCAGAAATGGCGGCAAGACTCTACAAGTAGTAGATCGCTGGCTTCGCGAGGCGCTATTTGAGAATAACAGCGAGGCGAGTGAAAAACTCACGCAGCTGAAGCTCCAGATACAACAAAAGCTGCAGCTGTTCAGCGATGAGGTTCAGAGGAAGGATATTGATGAGTTGATGATTCAAGCTAGGGAGCTCATGGCGAGATTCGCCTCTATCGTGACTGGCACGCTGATGGTTGTGGATGTGGAACGTGACAGTGACGAGCTCAGCTCGGAGATATTGAGCCGTTTTGCACAGAAGCATGGCTTCGGGGACGTGGTAGGTCAGGATTGGAAGAGCCGCTTGGAATGGGATCTGAGGATTGCGTTTGGAGAGGAGATAGAGAAGAGCGCAAAACCTCGCTTGTAAGGTTACTCTCTTTTCTCTAATGAGTGGGGTTGCTGTGTTGGATATTGATCCAGGTCAGGATCTGATGGGAAGTGTAGCCGATATGACTTCTAAAGTTAGACATAATGGATGTTTTGGAGATGATCAACTCGGACCGAAATCGACATAAAAAGAAAAAACAAGAAGAGGGAAGAAACAGCACCCATTACTATCCTCTCCTCATGACCATTCATACCACCTTCGCTAGAATTAACAAAATCACGTCAAATGCCTAAACCGCTTTCACACGTGCAATTCCCTCCTATTATCCAGACCATCTCCTTGAGAGCGGAGCATATTATGCATAGATCCTCTTCCTTCAACACGCTAGGTAAGTGACTAGCATGTCTTGCCACACTCTTTCTAGAGGCTGTTAAGACGCGCACGGGGTCTTGAAAGAGAGATGACTGAGATTGATCGAAAAGGAGGAGGTATGGATCTTGACGGGTTTGTGGGGTAAAGAGAAGGGTTTTTGACGTTTGGCATTATATCAGACTGTGCCAGAGGTAAGGCGATTATGATGATGAAGAGGAAAGAGAAGGAAGAAAGGATGTGTAAACAGCGTATAATATGTGGTGCTTACAGCAAGAGACAATGCAAGACAAGATGTAGGAACAACTATTTCCAAGTCAAAGACTTCACCTTTGTTCCCCCGATGACTCTCATGAATAGATCGACATCTCAAAGGGAAAGAATCTCGCTTTCACAGAACGGTTTTCTGGACCCCTTGCGTATTATTGTTGTCTCGCTCCCCTATTCGTATTCACTGGCGCGCGACACTGCACTCACTCATACCTTAGACGAGTACAAAAGGAGTTCCTGTTGCTGTGCGAGTATCGAGCTCGATCTAAACAACAAAGTCAACATCAACAAATCCAAAGTCTGCACGATCTTGTTTAACCTTGCACACTTACTAAGGAAAGTATTCTTCTACTAGAGTAAGGAAGATCTCTTTCACCACACTGTGGATTCCTTACGTACCTTGCACGAATAAGCAAGCAACTGTCCCTCGTCAACAGTCAACAGTCGCAGTTCAACAGTCAGGTCTTTACAAGATCTGCTATTACGACAACTTTCGCAATCTCTAGCACCAAGGCGTGAGTAAGCCTTGCGCGAAGATAGTAATCATTTCTCAAACTCTCGAGCTAACCGCGTCCAAACAGGAAGCAACAATGGCTCCTCCACCAGCGGGAAACAGCACATCATGGGCCAGTGCCCGGACTCTCGAGGGCGCGCGTCTCGTCCGACTCCAAAACCTCGCAACACACATCAATGTTTACAACTCACCTTACTTCCCCAAGAACATCGGCGAGTACGTCGCGCACCTCCGGGAGATCCAAGCCGAGAAGCTAGGAGTGGAGCGCAAGAAGATACAGAATCGAATCGAGGAGATCGGTCAGGCGGAGAGGGTTGGGGTGTTTTTGAATGGGAAATCTCTGGAGTTTGTACGAGTTGATGTGCTGGGGTACGGGCAGGAGAAAGTTTGGCCATTCGGTCATCACCCGTTGCGAGTCGATGCCATAGAGGCCTGGCCAACGAAGATTGAGTCGAAGCTTGAAGGCGAGTATCGCTCGAAAGCAGGTCTCAAGCGTCGGTTCCCGGCTCCGAGACAGGGAGAGGATGCCTGGTTAGTTAACAATACATTGCCACTTGGGGTCGCAGTCGAACTAACAGATGCTACTAGGGAAGATATTCCGCCCTTGATTCAAGACGCAAGCGGGAAGTATGACATGGTAGGGCATAGAATCAAGAATGGAATGAAGGAGTTGGAGATGAGACGGAGACAAGAGTATCCCGAGACGTGGACAACCGAGTGGCACGACGAGACACAGGAAGAGGACGTTGCGGAGTATGTTCCTGATGGCGGATGGAAGTTTAACGAGGAGGACCTGAGCAAGACCGGGGCATGGGTAGAGCTCCTGGATGACTTGTGGGGAATTTGAGCAAGCAGCTCAAAGCAGTCGCGTTTCCCTGAGCAAGTTGCATTGATGCAGCTGCCAATGTCCGCTTCTTCGTCCCTCCTCGCGATATGGTTCGGTGGTTGCGTTTGGTTGGTCTCTGGTTTTTCGACATACATGTGTAGGAGGAAGGATAGAAGACATGTCTTACTGAAGACAAGGGCCAGCGGTTGACCCTGGAAAGCGATTCATCGGCCGTCTACTTGAGTGCAGGGCCTTGTAGAATCCCGAATGCAAATACTTGAACTGTATGCTGTGGCGGAGATCGTGACATGTGGTGCTGGAACTTAAAGCTTCATTTCAAAGCGAGTTCCTGACTTCAGGACTCGTTGTATCAATGTTGGGACCAAGATAGAGTGCCTTGGCTACTGAATATCCATCTCAGCGGCACCCGAGAAAGACGAGAGATTGTTGGTTCACGCAGCCTCGTAGGTGAAGGAAGAGGTGAATCTACCTAGACAGAAGCGTGTGCTTAATAGGTAAAGGCACATAATGTTGAGGCGTTTTGAGGCTGTATGCTCTGTAGCCGCGGGGATGCCCCAGGTCTTCCGTGCGATGCGTGTTAAGAGAACCGCATGTCAGAGATTGTGCTTAGTAATCAGTCCTTCGTAGGTAGAGTTGAAACAGCGAAAGTAGTAGACATAAACAGAGGCAAAACAGAGAGTTATCGAGACGTTTACAGGGAGTGTCGATCAGACAGTTCATTTAACATGCTAGCTACACCTAATCTTCAGTTTCCGTCTGTATTGGCTCGACTTGAAATTTCGTGCCTGATTCACTTTGCTCTTCCTGGCAATAATTCCAGTTCAGTGATGCGACTAAAGTATGTATTCTTAATAGATTCCAATTTCCTTACATCCTCCACGCCGTGCGCGACTTCTATCACTTGCCCTAATAGATTGCAGGCATCCGTGTAACTGTCGATGGCACTCGAGTAGTCATTATTATTGTCACGGAGGACAGCAATATTGGCTTTTTGGAGAGCCTTCGAGAGGACAGCGTGTATTTCTGGGTTCGTTGCGAGAGTATTGCGTCCTGTGTGAGCGTTTCCCGGGTTCTGATGGTCACTTCGGAGCGTATGTGCGGTACCCTGTAGAGGCAATTCGATCTCGGCAATATCGGAGTCAATGCCTTCACCTTTGAGCATGTCTTGATTCACTTCAGTGTTCTCAAGGGTGTTTGCAGAGCCCTCATCGCCAGTATTGCTCAATCCATATTGCTCTTCGCAAGAAATAGTGTTCTGGTTCCCAGGAGATGATCCTGGCTGCTGAATCTTAGAGCCCAATGCCAGCCTGCCAGTATTGCAATCGTCTTTGGCCTCCTCTCCCTGGTTTTCATTGCGTGTATACCACTGAGCATTAAAAAGCTCTGAGCGCTGAACTGGCAGGGCAATAACAGAGATTATAGATATCTGCGCCAGACTCAGCTCAGATAACACAGACCAGGCACTTTGCCGGACCACTGAGCTCCGGATCGACATGCTCTCGCGACAGGACTGATTTCTGCGATATACCCAACTCGCATAGAGAGTTTCCTCGAACTCGTGTTGGATAAGGTAGGCGTCGAGTGTGCCTGTTCCCTTCGGACAAACGGTTAAATCCGATCCATCACTGTAGTCTGAGTAAATGGCCACGGAATCTCTGAGCGTATTCTGTTGGAGCTGTGCTCCTACCAGTTCTAACCGTCGTTCTAGATCTTGGTTGTCGGCCAGCTTCTGCATACAGTTCTGGGTGAGCGCAGCAAGTTCCTTATGAGCATCGTCTTCAGAAGCACTACTCCTTGTATTAGCTCGTTTAAACCCGGCATCTCGAGGACAAGAAGAACTATCACCACTTCAAAATATTCAGCTGCAGAACCAATGTTAGTTTCTGCCACTGCAATCGCGACACCAATGTTTCCAATTGAGTTTTTTTTCAGAGTCCATCGCGATCTGGCCACAAAGTCGAAGCCATCAAGCTGTACCAGTGGCAGTACCTCCGCTTCGATTTCGGAAAATAAGAGTGTGGCATCTGTAAAAGTCAAAACGATGAAGTCGGCGGGAACGAGCGCGGCACGTCTCGGGGGAGCTGTCCAAGAAGAGAGGAGGGTGTGCAAAGCATTCAGCGAACTTCGAAAGCAGTCGACTTCTATGCGGATGCAATTTGCAAATGAGGGAGCATGATGGACGTTACTGATGAATGTGTCCAAGGTCGTATAGACTTGGCCAGCCAGCTGCCAGAGACAGCAGGCCAGCGATCGACGCGGCAACACTCAAGGGATCGGCCATGCGAAACCAGCAAACAAATCCCCGCAAAGAAGAGGGTTGCACATTGGCCTCACCTTCGTGTCCCTATGCCTCTGAGTATGCGAACAGACATGGAAACTTGCTGCGGAAGGCTGTTCTTATCAGAGCGAGCACGAAGTCAATTCTCCGGCCGTGCACAATTAAGCGAGTGATAGGTGTAGGTATCACAAGTAGACTTAGTTCATCCTATCATATGTTGGGTAGGAAGATGTAGAATGAAGGAATACAGAGAAGGAGAGGGACTGAGGATACAGTATATTGTCTCCATTACTATCGTGAGCTTCTAGGACTACAATCGAAGGAAATGCTGATCGGAAGCGAGGATCGGACCGTACCGACTTTGTAGGGTCTCTATAGATTCATATACACCTATAGATACCTAGGTACACACCTACTTTACAGCCTGTGCGTCCCAACCTCGGCTGACGCTCTCCTCCGTAGCCGTCCGTAGGAACGATAAGTAATATTCCTCCTTATCGATAACGATAAGCTCTTGTCTTGGATCCCGCCTCCCTAGTGGCATGGGAATCCAATTCATCATCGTCACGTACAATCCAAAATCGATGGCAGATGTGTAGACTGGTGTAGCCATTTTGTCGACGGTATATATATCACATCCTTCTACACAGGTCAGCAAGGATAATTCAAGGGATCCTAGCAGGAAGCACTCCCAGAGGCCAGACATGTAGTACGAGAAACATAAGTATTGGCTCTTCTTCTCTTCCGCATCTGCGGTTCTGCACTCCCCCGCTATCCTATCAGTCTCCGGCATACCGAGGGAGCACGCACCCTGCTGAGGCAATCTGACCAGGCCTGTATCCCATGCTCATGACCATGACCATAATTGTCGGTCGGGTGCTGGGCGAACGGAACAAGCGCCAAGATCCAGGAACCCGAGGCCAGTTGGACACTCTTTGGGGGGGGGGGGGGGGGGGGGGGGG